GCCATGTCTTGGTGCCGTCCAGAGGCGATGACTCCGAGTCACTATCCCGCCACGTGACCGCCGACTCGCAGCAGCTGATGGCCACAGACTCGGTGACGTCACGAGGAGACACGGTGAGGTCACGTGGCGAGTCGGAGTCGTCAGAGTCAGAATCATCGGCTGCCGCGGGTGTGAGTCGATCTGCGCGGCCGTCGTGATGGTGAACGCGATCAGCGCTGGCAGCCCTACGCCGGCGCTGCAGGGCGCGAGGGAGGGACCTGCGCGCGCGGCGGTGTATCACCCGGTACTGGCCCGTCTCGAACACGGTCTGGGGAGTGGAGGTGCCGCCGCTGGCGCCTCCCGAGTCACCGCTGTCACTACCGCTGTCGTCCGCCTCTGATCCAGTGCAGTACACGTCTATGTGGACAGTCCTCCCGTGAGCCTGGTACCGGGCATGCCGCGACTCCCTCCGCCGACTCCTGCCGGAATGTGATGACGTCCGCGATGTTGCTGGCGGCTGGATCGGGTGACTCATGTTGTACACCGCCTGACCCATCCTCGGCTGGGCGGGCTTGTTCGAGCGCGAATGGAGATGGTCGTAGAAGCGGTCCAGGATCGTCCTGGCGTTGGGCCGAGATGACCCTGTGCTGGTGGTCCGTCCGCAGCCGCCGCAGAGCAGCGGGCGGATGCTGCGGCAGGTGCATAGCGACGTCTCTGAGAATCGCTCCGGGGAGCCGTCACTGGCGTGCACCTCCTGGGAGACAGAGCTGTGCTCGGAGACGGTCCGACGACGAGATTCGGCTGAGAGGCCGCCTCCTCTTCGGCTGTCAGCGAGCGACCTGGCGCGGTGTGCCAGGTCCCCGCGTCCGCGCCTGTCCCGTGAGTGAGATCTGGCTCCGTCACAGCCTTGGCAGTAGTGTGAGCTGTTGTTGCCAGAGCTGTGGCGAGAAGAGTTTTGGCGCTCCCTCTGGACGGAGGAGTGCTCAGAACGTCCCTGGGAGCGCGATCTCGTCGAAGAGCCTCGGCCATTTTGACGAGGACGTCTCTCAGAAGAGGGTTTGCTGCGTTGGGAGCTATGTGATGCTTTTGAGGGGCTTCCGTGATTTGCGTGTCCTTTGGTTCTGTCAGCACAGTCATTGTTTATTTGGGTTTCATTGCCCTGACGTTGTTCTGATGCCTCAGTTTTTCTTGCCAAGACCCGTTGAGTTTCTTGTGTGGCAAGCCTTTGCGTTTCACGTTGTCTTTCATCCGGCGTGGTACAAGTCCTTTGAACCGTATCACGATTTTCATCTAGCCCCTCCTTCTGCAGTTGACTTCTCCCCTCTCCTCTTCTGTACTGCACGATGCTCGACGTCTCCCCAGTCAGCCCATGCAGGGAGTTTGGCCTCTGCCGTTCTTGTTCCGTCGGCCGGGGTGTCGGCGACTTACCGTGTATGCTGTAGCTGCGTCTCACGTTCACTCGCTCCGGGCCAGCAGCCGGCGGCTCGGCCGGCTCCAGGACGATGCTGCAGCTGCTGCGGCAGCGGCCGTGCTGCTGCTGGGTGCTGCTGGCCCGGCTGCCGCCACGGGGACCGGCTGCTGAGGTTCTGTCGCAGCCGGGAGAGGCCGCGGACCAGGTGGAGGTCCTCTGAGGAGGGCCGCTGCACGGGTCACGGTCCAGACGAGCTCGAGGCCGGCCCATGTCCGAGACCGTCCTGCCGTAATGCTGCTGCCTCTGCTGCTGGCACTGCTGCCACTGCTGCTCGAACGGCTGCTGAGGGTGGTTCGGCGGGTGACTTTGTTGACGTAGCCCCTGCTGCTGCTGCTGCTGCTGCTGCTGCTGCTGCTGCTGCTGTGCCATGGTGTGCAGACTGGGACTGCTGCTCCATGAGCAGTGCAGACGGACAGAGTTGTCCGGCCCGTAACTGACTCGTACATCAGGTCTCACCCCTGCCGCTGCCTCGGGTCCCTGCCGTTCCACTGCTGCTGCGCTGTGCGAGGTCCCTGCCGGAGTGAAACTGTGTGACGCCCGCACTCCGCCACCTCCTCCGAAGCAGATATCGGCGGATACCGACCACTGGTGGCACGGCCGACCGGTCTGCGGAGTCCGCGGCTCCATCGCGCGCTCGCCGTCCCGCTCCGTCGCCCACGACACCACCACTGAGTCGCCCCCGACGGGGGGTGGGGCGGAGACGACAGAGCCCAGCGGTCGGGTGCCAGGCAGGCCGCGACGTAAAAATACACCGTGCTGCAGCCGACGAGTCCGCCGCGCGGCACCGGGTCAGCCGGGCCAGGGTCGGTGCAGTGGGCGGGTTAGGAGGAATCCTTTCCAGACGCGTGGGCGGCTGGCGGGCGGCGACGCGCCCTTCGTGACCTCACGGCCCAGAGATGAGAGAGGGGTGCCATTCGTAGGTTAGCTCGGTTGAAGGCTTTAGAAACCTGTCGCTTGGTTAGGGCTATAGTAAATACCAATATTATTGGAGCTAAAATCAGGTAACGAGATGGAGAACAAAGGAAAAGATTTACTTCATATTCTTATCAATATGGGCAACACTACTATCGCGCGACCTCTAAATAACAACTATACATAGTTCATGGCCATGCATCACGGCTTTTTGGCAGTAGGCAGCTGGTCTTAGCTACGCAACGACACTGAAGGACATCAAGCCCATCGCACAGGCCAACGAGACAACTGAATTAACGACTCCGCTGACAGCGCCTGCGACGGTCTGCGGGTCCCGTTGCATGACCATTGATCAAGCCTCACCGACCTTACACTCCAGCTATTCATTTCCCCGCAAATGAAGATGCATCGCCCGCAGTTTGTCTGTCTGTCCGCCAGTGGAAGTGCTCCGCCCATGCTTTGCGGCTCAGGAGACGGTTGCGGGTTTCCTGACGGTGGTCGGTGGTTGGCAGCCGACCGAGCTGGGTGTCGGTCGGGTCAGGACGGCGTGGTGGGCGGGGACCAGCCGGGGCGCGGTGGGCGGTCCCGTCCCGTGCCATGACCTGCCAGATGACTCTGCAGGGCCCCAGTGGGTCACGGGGTCACCCGGACGTCTGACGACACCCGCCACCGCCCCTGGTGTCATTGCCGTGTCACTGCCGTGTCATCACCGCGTGTCACGGCGACGCGTGTCAGCCGTGACACCGAGCGGGAGCGGCCAAACCAAACAGCCAGGAGCCTGTCGGCGGGAGTTTCATGGCGCCCGGGACAGCCGAACGGTGTCGTTGGCGTGCCACCGGAGATACGGTGGCTCGTCAGGAAAGCGTCTGAACTGGAGTGACAGAGGGCATTCATTGTTGCTGGGCCGGAAGGCCGCATACTGCAACTTTAACAATGGTTTGCCGTGATGATAAGATTATAATTTCGTAATGATTTGCACAAATTGAATTAATTTGTCAAAAAGGAGCAAGAATATTGAATCAAATCGTTTTGGGATGAAAACACCTGAATTTAATCAGCTTTGGGTATTTATAATTTCGGCTCAATGCTTTACATGCGTAAGCTATTGCCCAAGGTAACCAACTTAATCCGCTGAGTCACAGAGTTATATAGAGAAGTCTGTGACTGAGTCTAACTAGATGAAAACATCCGAAAATGAGTTAGCGCCAGTCCACCAGATTGAACATTAGACTGGACCGCGATGATGCTCAGTCCTCCGACTTTGATGAGGTTTTATGTTCTTTAATCGTGTATTATTATGTACGCATGTTGAAAGCTACATTTGTGTCGCACCGTTCTTCCGAGGACATCGACGAAAAACAGGCGGCCAGGGCTGATTTGATTCCACTAATCTGTCGGCTACAATTGAAGAGTCGCATCCGAGACCGGGATGTATTGTGTAATGTTTCATTGGTCACAATAAGCGGAACGATCTTTTGTGCGGCCTTTGTGATCCAATTTCACTGTTGATGCTGTTTGCAGTATAGACGGAGCTTTCTTACATTTGGTTTTATTCGTGTTGTCGGTCTCGTAAGGTTCGTTAAAAACGCCCGCACAAAAACGGCGCCTGTTCCGACTCCGCTCGTCTTTCTGCGTATCATCATTTCAAGTTCAAACGGCCCACAGTGATATGAGACGGTGACCGCGCTTGTCATCCACCATTGTTGACATACGCCCTGGCGACAGCCTGCCCTAGACATTAGACAAAACAGTAGACCGTGACAATGACATTACCAATACATACACACAGGCCAGTGCGGCCCTGTTTGAGTCCGCCGTCCGCTCCAGAAGGGACAAATCACATGATCTTTATACGCAGAGCTGGAGTCAAATTTGGGATGCAGTAAATTTTTAGGGTAGTTATGCATTGCATAGTTAAGTTTCGTGTGTTTTGAACCTAAATCTGATAGGATAAGTACGGTGCAAACGATGTTGTGACATTATGTGAATGCCAAGTTCCGTTAATTAGGTACTCTGTTCTTTATGTCAAAAAGGCGTCTTGCTGATTGAAGCTATTTCTTATTGCTATATGACATTCGGGAGTAGATATATTTATAGTTAACGTAATGCTTTATGGAGCTATCTCCTTGCAGGCATGTGAATATTAGTTTATTGAATATTGGAATATTAAATATTGGTTACACATAATAAAAGGAAGGTTTCCAGGTTTGGTGACGCCGTGGCTCCATAGCCGGTTGCACGAGGCGCCCGTGTGGGCCGGTTGCACCGTGCACGTGGCGCCCGTGTGAGCCGCTGCGCTGCGGCCGGGGCGGGTCTCACGCCGCCGCGCCGCTCGGACCGCGGACATTGCACTGCAGGCTGTCCCTTGACGCCTCGCTGCTGATTCAGAGGCGCGTAACGGGGCGGAGGGGGGGGGGAGCACGGGTCCGGACCCGCCGACCCCGGCGCGGCGCTCTCCTGATCAGTAGTCAAAACAGACACATTTGGACATTTTCCATACCTGACACGACAGTAAACAATGCTCAGACGGCTGTACCGCGGCCTGCCCGAGCTCCACTCGGCCCTCCCCGCCGCCATGACCTTGTTACGCCCATGCCCGTGACGGCTGAAGAGTTGGTGAAATGTGCCGCACCATTCCGTGGAGAGTGTGTGTGTGTGTGTTTGACGGCCGCTGTGGCCTGCCGTGGCTGCGCTCGCCGGCGTGGTAAAAACACGCTCGTGGCAGGAACTTTCGCCGGCGCCGCGGCTCGGCCGGCCGGCAGTAGTGCTGCAGGACCGGAGCGGAGAGCACCGCCCGCTGTCACGGGCCGCGTGCACCGCGCTACTGAGACGGAGGGCTGCCGCGGGCTGTGGGTGAGAGCGGCCCGACCTGCCGCACGCTGCCGTCCCGTGGTGGAGCGCCGGCCGTTCAGTGTGTCTGAGGAGCACCGGCTGACCAGTCCTGTGTAAAGTGTTCACCGTCCAGCCCATCTGAGCAGCCCCGCCGCCCAGCTGAGCGCCGCTACTCCCGTCTACCTGAGGAGCAGCCATCTGTTCAGTATGGACGTGCCGGGCCTCCCTGAACTGCTGTATGACGCCGAGGAGCAGCTGGAGCCGACTCCCGGTCGGACCGTGTCCGGAGAGGTCCCCAGCTGGCTCTCTGGCTCGCTCTACCAGTCGGGACCGGCCAAGTTTCAGCTGGGTGACGGTTTCTCGGTGAACCACTGGTTCGACGGTTTGGCCATGGTGTGCAAGTTCGCGCTGAGTGACGGCCAGGTAACCCTACAGAAGCGCTTCGTCCAGTCGGACGCCTACAAGAAGGCGACCAAGTACAACAAGACCATCTACACCGAGTTCGGGACGCGCGCCCACACGGATCCATCTCGTGGCTTCTTCAGTCGCCTGGTCTCCTCCATCCTGCCCACCGACATGACCGACAACAACTTCAACAACGTGATCCACGTCAACGGGCAGCTGTTCGCCGCCTGCGAGACCACGCTGGTGAGCCGGATCGACGCCGCCACGCTGGAGACTCTGGAGAAGGTGGACCTGTCGCAGTCACTGGGGGTGAACCTGTGCTGCTCACACCCGGTCACCGACCGCGACGGCTCCGTCTACACGCTGGGGGTCACCTTCATCCCGGGCTTCCGCTACCAGGTGAACCGGATCCCGCCGGCGCCGGCCGCCGCCAACGGGAAGCAGGCGTTCGCGGGCGCCCAGCGCCTGCTCTCCATGCCGTCCTCGTGGACCACCGCCTACTCGTACTACCACTCGTTCGGCGTCACCGCCAGCTACATCGTGTTGCTGGAGCTGCCGCTGCTGCTCGTCCTCTCCAAGGTGATGACCATGGTGGTGAAGGGCCTCGCGCTCAAGGACTGCATCGAGTGGCATCCCGAGCACCGCGTCAAGGTGCACCTGGTGCACAAGGCCGATGGAAAGCTCGTCAAGACAAAGTACATCACCGACGTCCCCTTCTTCCAGACGCATGTGTGTAACGCCTTCGAGGAGGATGGCACCGTGATGCTGGACCTGATCACCAGCGAGGGCCCCAGCGTGATGGAGGCCTACTTCCTCGACAAGCTGCGCGAGGGGAAGCTGTACAATGAGCATACCATGCGCGTCACGCGGCTCGCCATCCCCGTGCTGGAGGATCTCAAGACGGCTCCGGAGAACGTCAACCTGGTCGGCTCTGACAGCACACGCGCGCAGGCCGTACGCCGAGGGGACACGGTCACCCTGAGCCTGGACCTGTTCCCAGAGGAGGGTGCCGAGTACCCGACCATCAACCCGGCGGTGCGCGGCCGGCCCTACCGCTACCTCTACGCCACCGGCGGCTTCGAGCAGGGTCCGTTCCGCAGCGCCGTCGGCAAGCTGGACACGCACTCCCGCACGTGGCAGTTCTGGCGCGGCGAGGAGGGCACGTTCCCGTCGGAGGCGACGTTCGTGGCGCGGCCGGGCGGCGGTGGCGCGGCGGAGGACGCCGGGGTGCTGCTGACGGCGCTGCTGGGAGCCGGACGGCGGCCCGATCGGTTCATGGTGCTGGACGCTGGTCGGATGGAGCCGCTGGCCTGTGTGGAGTTCCAGAGCCGCGTCCCTGTCATGGTTCACGGCACGTGGGTACCGACAGAGAACACGAACGAGGCCGATGGTAGGGAGGGGAAGTAGGACAAAGACAGGGGTGGGAGGGAATGGCCTGTTTCCGAGCGGGAGCTCGGTGGGCGGGGGGTCGGAATGAGATCAATCAAAACCCATTGAGGCTCTTTAGAGTCTAGTCTTCTCCGCCGCCCTTGTTGATAGTTCGGGCACGGCTTATGATTTTTGGGTTCGGATATACATATCCTGCAATTCTAATATTGCGAAGCATCCGATGTAATGATACTTGATGCAATGTCAAGAAAGTAAAATTGATTTTGTAGTAGGATCCGACAATGATACTGCATCGCAAGTGATGCCTGACAGATAATCTAACTCAGGTCTCCAACCAAACAAATGGAGGAGTGCATATGTGTTGCACTAAAAAAGCGGGCCAGTACCAAGTATATATGTAGACGTCAAGTGATACTGATACTGTGTAAACCATTAAACGACGAGGTTTACATATGAAATAGTTTTTTAAATTTTAACCTTCCGCAATATTGGTCTCACACTCAATCCTCAATACCAAAACGCTTTTAAATACCTCATATTTAGACATTACGCGGAGCGGATTATGCATTTATGTTCTAACTTGCATAAGAGTCCGTTTGTCGTTTGATAATGCCTCATTATTGGGAAGTGAATGTCTCGAACAGCGATGCTGCTCACATGTTCGAGATCTATGTCTACCGTATAGTCGTTTTTGGTGCATTGTATTCAAGCTGCTGTATGTTGTCCGAATATAACCTACCGTCTTCCCTCGGCGATATACAGTTTCAAATGCACGCTACGGGGTGTGCCTAGCCTAAGTAACTTATTCGCAGGCATTGTGGATACCGCATTGTATTGTGGGAATTTTGACGCTCCCAGAGCCACGCTTTTCGTTTGAGATACGAAAATGACCTGTAAGCAATATACATTCTTACCTACCTACCTATATTCTTACCTTACCTACCTATTATAGAGACAGGACGCTTTACATAATAATGTGCTTTGTATTTACCTACACTCTCTCATGATTAGGTAAGCATGTTTCGGTCATCGTACCTACACGTATCGTATGGTATTGGAGGGTTGATACGAAATTGTACCTAACCATTTTGTACCCTCTCCAGCCCTTAGTTTTTACGTCTAGGTAGGGAGGCATTAAAACCTCAGTTCCATTTAATTCGCTTTCACCCTTCCATTCTCACTCTCGGTTTCATTTTTTGTCACTTTCCATTCGTCTCACTCGAATAATTGTTTCCTCTCTCCCTCTCTCCCCTCTCTCCTCCCTCTCCATGGTTGACGTCACTCGTGAGTCGTGAATGGCCCACACTGCACAGGACAGACGTTGCAGATATCTCCTGCACTCCACTGATAGTCCAGTGAGCGTCCCTGCCACGTGGTGCTCCGATAGCGCGCTGAAGTGAGCCGCGCTGCATCGGCGAGCGGTCTGTCGGCGGATATCAGAGAGACCTGCAGTCGCCGCCGATAGCAGCCGCTCGGAAGGGAGCGAGGTCACCGATCAACTCACCTCCGGTGACCTAGATAGGATATTTGAAAAGGTTAGGTACGTTTCGCGTGATCGTCGCTTATTCGTTCTCTCTGTCTTTGGAACCAATCCATTGTCGCCATTGATGAGAATAGATCATCTCCCTGTTCACACCTCCCTGTTCCGACCTATGCCGGCTGGCGCCTGCAGGTCGCTCCACTGCAGCTGACCAGCGGAGGTGAGGGGCAGTATAAGGCACACCGTCCGAGGTGACTGAGAGCTGAGAGGATGGGGATCTACATGTATTGTATTGATCTGCAACTGTATGTATTCCATCAATTCCTCCCGCCTCCGGCAGTGTTCCGCCCCATCTAACCCAACGGCTCCTCTTCACGTCATTCTTTCATTTCTGAAATGATCGGGAAATGGTCCTGAAAATGAAAATAATCGTGTTCGTGGTCACGGAAACCCAAGCCGTGACACATCTCTGTAAAACTTCATCCATCTGCTTTCCTCATACGCTGCTTCCATTGAGTCGTGGAATGATAACCGTGACGCATCGGATGCCTTTACGCTGCCAGACGGTGGCTGAGGTGTTAGCGCCACCTCGTGGTGGATTGAGCTGCCGTCTGGCGGTGAGCCGAAGCCCCGCAGTCCTGCTGCCAGATACAACACACGTGTGCTGCCGTCTAACGACAGACATTTCAACTAACTCCGTGTCCCAACGCGGCGCAGCATAAAACATACCTATAGGCTAGTGTGGATGATTTTAGTATGAGCTGGCCTACAACTCCAGGCCTCTCACCGTTTACGGTAAGTAGGTATGAACCACCTGGAGTCGCAGTCAATGCCGTCATCATAACAACCTCGTTGCCTTCCTTCGCTTGGCCGTCCCGCTCAGCCTCCAGAGTCCAGAGGATCGGCGGCATCATTGGGTGCTCGAATGGCCGAATGAAGGTATCCGATTGCTGCCGTTTGACCCCTCCGTTCCGTCTTTTCCATCCTCAGGGCAGGCACTTAGATCCTTCTCCTCCACACCTCAACCCCCAATCCGGGCTGGACGGTCACCTTTATCTCATGCGGATGCGCCACCTCAGGAGCAGGCTCGTGCCCCGTGACCGGGTGTGGTGACCGTCAGGGGGCTGGTGGCCTGTCCTCGTGATGGGCTCAACCCCGACGGGTCACCAGGGTGCCCGCCCAGACCAATGCTCCGCCCCCCCCCCCCCCCTAGTCTTATCGTCCTTCCTTCTCTGTTATGGTCTCATTAGGCGTAAAGAGCCTAACCCAACAAAACAAGAAAACAACACAAGTCACTCGGATGGCCGGATGTCTCCAATGGGTGCCACTTGGCCCAGCGGGTACGGTCAGTTGGAGGAGGGGAGCCACTGAGGGAAGCGGCCGACTGATAGATATGCTTACAACTTCGTCAGATAGATGGCACAAATGCTTCATATTTTCAAAAGTAATAACCTGAATCTACGATTGTGACATTTGTGCCATCCCTCTGACGAAGATGTACCTAAGCATAGAATAAAATTTGTTTCTTATTTTCTTCTGGCACCTCCTTGTCCAATATATATACCTATATATATATATATATATATATATATATATATATATATATATATATGTTACGGGTCATATGCTAACTTGGGCAGTATGCAAACTACCCGGGTAGTATGCAAACTACCCAACAGCCCGGGCAGTATGCATACCGCCCGGGTAGTATGCATACTACCCGACCCCTTGGGCAGTATGCATACCGCCCGGGCTGTTTGCATACTGCCCGGGTAGTATGCATACTACCCACCTTTTCTCTCACGGGCAAGATGTTTACTCGGGCAATATGCTGACCGTGGCCCGTGAGACTAGTTAATGCAATAGCTCACATGACAGACGCTTTATTTAACCCGCACCGGGGCGGCGCGGTGCTCGGCGCCAGTCGTGCCGGGCAGGGGGAGGGGGGGAGGGTTGAACACCCCTGCTCGACTCCCGTGCCACTTAGCGGAACAGAAGTAAGCGGCATGTAAGAATGTAAGATGCGGTAACCGGCATTCGAAATAGCGTCAAAGATCATGACGAAAGTGCCCAAGTCATTTTTAAGGTCAGATCAAAGAATAGGACAACAGAGGTTATCAAAGATCAAATTTCTTCTTTTTTTATAAATTCGCCCATAATTCGGAAGACAGTAGAGCTACAGCGCCGCAGAAAGACGCATTCGAAAGCTCTTTTAGCGCTTTCTGGAATAGGTACTTGAAGTTGATCTAAGTTCAAAATTTGACCTGAGGTCAAGGTCATGACCTGACATGAAAAGGTCATGTTGTTTATCAGCCGCTCCTTATCGTCGAACTGAACACATCTAAGGTTGTTTCCATGACCATCGCTCCAATACGTCTCCATAAAAAAATGATGGTCAAAGAACTGCTGGAGACCTTTTATGACCTGATATGACCTCATGGTCATAAAAAGGGGTCACAAGTGCAATTCTTTCGATTCAGTGCGTCATGTTTACCTGTAACCCGATGTTTGGGAGTGTTTAGAATGACGTTCATCAAAAAAGGCCTGTCAACTTTCTCCTGTCAACTTCTTAGGGAGACTGTGCAAAATTGACTTGATCTAAAGTCATCTGTACGATATCAAAATTCAAATACATGCATTTTGAACCTAATGTTACTCTTATTAATCGCTTAAAGTTTCAAAGCGATCGTTCGGTCGGTGTATGGCGAGCATTCTAACTTTTTTTGGGGTAAGGTCACTTGACCTGACCTGGTAACCCGATCATAACAACTTGTAACGTCTTACATGTAAATGGTTTCATGTAACATTAGTTATCATGAAACTATAATAACGCCCTCTACAGGTCCAAGTGCCAAATCAAAGCCAGCGAGTGATGGCACTATAGATCTGTCGTCGTTTCAGATAAAAATGACTTGTTGGCCGCTGGCAATGAAATTCAATGAAATTCTGGGGAAATATTTTAAGTCTTTATATTGAACACATTATTTCACCCTTCGATCGATAAATCACGTTTGACGGCAAAAAAGACTTCGCGATTGAACTACGTTACTTTTTTAAATTTAGTCCGAACCTTTTGAATAGAAGGATTCACAGGGACAGAGCCGAAGCTTATAGGTAGCCCTGCCCTCTACCCTCCGATCGCGCAATGCCGGTTCTATGGCAGAATTTGCAGTCCAAAGTTTAAAGTGCGCACAGAGCCGCGCACGGCCGGTCCTCTCACTGACTTCGTTTGGCTACGGCCTGCCACAAACCGCAATCATACCTGTAAGGAGGCTCATTAAACGTCAATCGCCCGTCGCGCTTCGAACCCGGACTGTTATAACCGGGAACGCGTGCTCTCACCACGCGGAGTCCAACGCTCTACCGACTGAGCTACGGGACCGGCCAATACTTATTGAGCCATTAACCCTCGCCCCGTTGGGGGGGGGCCATTTTGGCCCCCCCCCTGTGGTTTTTCCTGAATAGCAAGAAAACGGCGGCGCGCAGCGCCGCCAAATTTTCAGTACCTTCCCGGGCATCGATTTGACACCTTCACACCAAATTTCAAGTCTTAGGTCACCTTAGGTCAGGAGTTATTGAGGTCAAACTGAGGTCATGTTCGAGCAAAAATGAGCAAAAAACATGCAATCTTGAAACGCTCACCAAATCTACAGTTATCAAGCAATTTCAAAGTTCTTTATATGGTCTAGTAGACAAAAAGTGGCGCTACAAAACTGCTATCTCGGATTTTCAAATTTTTGGTTTTTGACCAAAAAAAATCAAAAAAATGATTTTTTTAGAAAAACTTTGAACAAATCCCGCATTTTTCCGAATTTCGAAAAAAACGGAATATATGTGATAGTCCCAGCGCTCTTCTATATACATACCAAATTTCAGATCGATATCTCGTTTTTTGGCCAAGTTATAGCGAAAAAACTGTTCAAAAATGATGACGTCAAATTTTTGAACTCAATTTTTAGCAATTCTAGACCACGTACGGCAAAACCAAGACCACCATTGAACTCCCCGTGACGAGCTGCATCGATTCGATACCCATTGTATGCAAAAATATTAACTTTCAAATTTGACCTAATTTGACCTGACCTTGACCTGACCTTGACCTGACCTTGACCAAAACGTGATCTAAGCTGGCCCCAAAGGCTGCCTGACCCATATAATCGCATTTGTCATGTAAAATGGACCATAAAACATGTATCACACGACACTTTCATATTGTGACCCCCCCGTGACCTGACCTCTGTGACCTGACCTGGTATCAGTGACCTCAAATAGCAAAATATGTGTTTGAAGAACATTTCCCCATCGATGATTTTCAATGAAATGCATTTTACTCAATTTTACAACGCATTTCTTGAAGTGCCTGTAAACGGTGAAAATTGGACCTTTGACCTGACCTGTGACGTCATCGGTTTGACCTAGGTCAATAAAATTGGGTCACAAGGTATTTCCCCGTTGGGGCTATCCAACGCCGTTTACCGCTTGTCGCTATGTTGCGTGGTTCTCGAGATCTTAGGGGGGGGCCAAAATGGCCCCCCCCCCCAACCGGGCGCGTTGCTCGGCAGAGCCCAACGGGGCGCGGGTTAATGCTTTTTAAAATGGACATGGAATACACAACTTCAAAACAAAAAGCGGGCAGTATGCAAACTGCCCAAGCTTTTGGGTGCCCAAGGGGTCGGGTAGTATGCATACTACCCGGGCGGTATGCATACTGCCCGGGCTGTTGGGTAGTTTGCATACTGCCCAAGTTAGCATATGGCCCGTAACATATATATATATATATATATATATATATATATATATATATATATATATATATATATATATATATATATATATATATATATATATATATATATATATATATATATATATATATATATATATATATATATATATATATATATATATATATATATATATATATATATTATATATATATATATATATATATATATATATATATATATATATATATATATATATATATATATCGTGAATAGGCATAAAGCAAATCATAGCGCGGTCTGTCAAAATAAAGCGGCTCTTGCCCGCCCCACGTACCCGTTATTATTATAGCTACGCTGACTTGACCCTTGCTTTATTGACAACAAACGCCCCGGTAGTCGACGAGCTAGTCAACTCCGATCTGTTTTATGGACCCTGACTACCCTAGCTAGCGATAAAATTTTATTGACATTCGAACTACCCCAGTCGGTCAATTGAATTGCCGTTCTGACAACCCTGACGGCCCCTACAGTACGCAGATGCCGTCGTTCATGTGGCAGTACTCGGGCTGCATCAGTTCGGCGCCGATGCCGCGCTGCACCATCCGCTCTCTGTGGTGCACCAGCCGGGTGAGTGCCGCCGCCGAGTCCGTGTCCGGCTCGGCCCACAGCCGCTCGGCCAGCGCGGCACCGCGCGGCCACAGCCGGCTGTCCAGCGTCTGGGCGTCCGACTGCTCCGACCACAGCGCCGCCGAGCCGCCCCGCACCAGAGACACGTAGTCGGCGCCCGACGGCTCGAAACTCCGGGCGATGGCGCGCGGGCTGTTGTCGTACACGGTCTGCCAGCTCTTGTAGGGCGCACACCAGTTATGTCCGGCGCCGACCCAGGCCGAGAAGCCGCAGTCGAAGTACCAGGCGTCGTAGTTGGAGATGACCAGCGGGTAGCCCTGCTGGAGGAGGTCGCCGATCTGCTGGTCGCTGCCGGTCGTCCACACCTTCCGACAACGGAGAGGGTGAGTAACACACCCGTCAGAGCAGCAGTCACAATGCTCAGCGTCACAATGCTCGTACACTGCGCTCCTTGCGGCGTCAAGAAGGCACTCGTACTATCCATACACCTTGCACGGCCGTAGCGCTCGCCGGACTACCCCGGCCCTCCTCTCACCTGAATGATATACTGGAACGGCGGCAGTACTGAGGACGCTCCGCTGGCCTCCTGGCTGGTCAGGTCGCTGGTCCATAGCAGCAGCGGCGTGTCCCTCCCGCTCACGTTCCTCCAGATATCGGCGGCGCGGAGCTGGTACTGAGCCCACAGCTCCATGTACTCCGAGTCGTCGGTCGGGTCGCCGCCGTGGTCACTGACGTAATCAGCAATCTCCGGAGAGGTTTTCCAGCAGTTGATGTTGATCTACCGAGCATCAATACACGGGAGATATCAGATAGATGAATAAGTGTCACAAAGTCACGTTGAGACAATAAGCCATTCTTGTTCGGCATTGAACGACTACGAGTGTCCGTCCGTCCGTCCGTCCGTCCGTCCGTCCCGTTCGGACGATGACGTGTGCCCGTCAGGATGTCAATCTGTCCGTCTGTCTGTCCTTCTGTCTGTCTGTCGGTCTGTCCGTCTGTCCGTCTGTCCGTCTGTTTCTGGCTCTGTCTGTGTACTCGCCTATATCCATTTTTCTCACTCAAACACAAAAATGCACATAGCACATGATATCTATGACAAAGTGCGCTCAATCACGGTCGCCGTTCAGAAACAAAGCGCGTTCCCAGAACGGACACAGTCGTTGGGTGTGCCGCGCGGGGTGCCAGAGTCTACTCTTATCGTCACGGACACGTGTGAACCGTCAGCTGCAAACACTCACTGCGACGCTCAACAGGTGGTGGAGACGCGTAACGCGCCCATGCTGGCGGCTGAACGCGACATTATCGGTCGGCTAAATACAGCATCAATATGATTGGGCTGGCTAGACCAGGAGTATTGAAGATGTTAGTTGGCTGAAACGTCGTTGTAACTGATACACATGCGAAGGCGGCTCTGCACACTGAATCTCCGTCACCACCTACCTCATCGCCTCCCATGTGGAATATGTCCGGCTGGAAGAGGGTGTTGAAGTCCTTGTAGATCTTCTCCAGCACGGTGTACATGTTGTCGTTGATGATGTTCATCTGGCCGCAGGGCGGCTCCACGCAGTACGACTGCCACGGCTCCTGGGATAGCAACAGCGGCAGTTACTTATACATAGGAATGAACGGAGAGCAATTAGTGCTGGGGTGCATCTAAACGTTTAGCATTTTCAACAAATATTTCTGCATATACATCACAGCAAAAAAGCAAAGTCATAGCCTCATGATAACGAATGAATATATAATGAATATATTACTAAATTAGCCCCCCCCCAAACTGACCTCTCCGACGCAGACGGCCAGCCTGCCGAGTCCGGCGTCCTCGCCCCACTGCCAGCCGTAGCCGACGTGGGCCGGCGCGTCCAGCTCGGGCAGCAGTCGGACGCCGCGCTGCCGGCCGTACCGGACCAGCTCGGCCACCTCCCGGGCTGTGTACACCTTCCGCGGCGAGTAGGCGCCGTACTGCACCAGACGCGGCTCGCTGGCCACCTCGATCGGGAAACTGTGCGTGTCCGTCACGTGCCAGTGGAGCGTGTTCAGCTTGTTCATGGCCATGGCGTCGATGGTGCGCCGCAGGGCAGAGAGAGGGATGAAGCTGCGAGCTGTGTCGATGGTGAGCGCCCGGATCGGGTACACGGGCGCGTCGCTGAGAGACGCAGAGCTCAGGATCTGGGGACGTGCATCCATGAATGGTCAATACTTCGGAACAATGCAACACAGCTGAAACAAATGGCAAACCTGAAATCGAAACACTCGCAGATGGTTCGGCGCTTGATCGGCACTCACCTGCAGACAGGCGTTCTCGTCGTCGTACTCGATGAGCTGCGACAGGGTCTCCAGGGCGTGGCGCGCGCCGAAGAACGTGGTGGCGTTGATGGCCACGCTGACCTCGCTGCCGGCGGTGTAGCTGACGACCAGCTGGCTGTCCTCGCTGGTCTCCAGCGTCAGCGCGGTGCCGGCCGACTCCACGGCCACAGTCACCTTCACGGCCTGCTCGGCTACGGCCGGCTCACAGGCGCCGTCCGGCCGGCAGCCGGCCCGCCGCCCGCCCAGACCCGACGGCTGCAGCGCCCGCAGGCTGTCCAGGAATATCTCAGTGGCAGTCTGCAGCATCGGCTTCACCGGGTCGGGCGCCACCAGCTGGAACTGGACGCTGTCGATGAGGAACGGCACCGTCTCGGAGCCGAACGCGGCCGGCCCGGTGGGACGCGGCCATACCACCGACAGCTCGCCGCAGGTCAGCTTGCACGTGCCGAACTGCATGCCGTCGGTGACGCCGGCGGCTGGGCGGCGCACGCAGCTCCCCGACTCGCAGCGCCACGTCCACACGGACGGCTCGGCGCGCGCGGCCGCCAGCGCACAGCAGAGCAGCAGCAGCCGCATCGTGAGGCGCCGAGCTGGATGAGCGCGTCAGATCCCCTGTGGGCGGGAAAAGACTCACTTTTTCCTTTATGATCACCTCGATCACCCACATATCTGAATATAACCTAAGGTTTAGGCTGTCATGCGTGGCATTCATGACCATTATGGATAAAAATTCCAACTTTATCTCTTCATCGCGCCTTAACCCGCGCCCCGTTGGGCTCTGCCGAGCAACGCGCCCTGTTGGGGGGGGGCATTTTGCCCCCCTAAGATCTCGAGAACCACGCAACCTAGCGACAAGCGGCAAACGGTGTTGGATATCCCGATCAGGGAACTACCTTGTGACCCAATTTTATTGACCTAGGTCAAACCGATGACGTCACAGGTCAGGTCAAAGGTCCAATTTTCACCATTTACAGGCATTTCAAGAAATGCGTTGTAAAATCGAGTAAAATGCATTTCATTGAAAATCATCGATGGGGAAATGTTCTTCAAGCACATATTTTGCTATTTGAGGTCACTGATACCAGGTCAGGTCACAGAGGTCAGGTCATTGGGGGTCACAATATGAAAGTGTCGTGTGATACATGTTTTATGGTCCATTTTACATGACAAATGCGATTATGTGGGTCAGGCAGCCTTTGGGGCCAGCTTAGGTCACGTTTTGGTCAAGGTCAGGTCAAGGTCAGGTCAAGGTCAGGTCAAGGTCAGGTCAAGGTCAGGTCAAGGTCAGGTCAAATTAGGTCAAATTTCAAAGTTGATATTTTTGCATAAAATGGGTATCGAATCGATGCAACTCGTCACCGGGTCTCTGTTTTGTCGTACGTGGTCTAGAATCGCTAAAAATTGAGTTCAAAAATTTGACGTCATCATTTTTGAACAGTTTTTTTCGCTATAACTTGGCCAAAAAAACGAGATATCGATCTGAAATTTGGTATGTATATAGACGAGCACAGCGACTATCACATATATTCCGTTTTTTTTTTAAATTCGGAAAGCTTTTGATTTTTTTTTAGTTTTTCTTAAAAAATCAATTTTTTGAATTTTTTTGGGTCAAAAACCCAAAATTTTGAAAATCCGAGATAGCGGTTTTGTAGCGCCGCTTTTTGTCTACTAGACCATATAAAGAACTTTGAAATTGCTTGGTAACTGTAGATTTGGTGAGCGTTTCAAGATTGCATGTTTTTTGCTCATTTTTGCTCGAACATGACCTCAGTTTGACCTCAATAACTCCTGACCTAAGGTGACCTAAGACTTGAAATTTGGTGTGAAGGTGTCAAATTGATGCACGGGAAGGTACTGAAAATTTGGCGGCGCTGCGCGCCGCCGTTTTTTTGCTATTCAGGAAAAACCACAGGGGGGCCAAAATGGCCCCCCCAACGGGGCGAGGGTTAATATTGGAGGGCAGTTAGAGTGCCAACACATTATTCTGCAGACTACTCGAGTACTTGCCTAAGTGCGCGTACGAGCTATTGTGAGATTCCGATGGAAAATTCCGCCACCGAAGCAGCGAGCGCTCCGTGGGAGACGGCACAGCTGCCAGTTAAACTCGGGCTGCACAATGCACATATGTCAGTCTGACACTGATCAGAGAGGTGGTGGGTATAGCATGTGCATTGCTGCATTGCATCTATATTTAGGGTGACATTTGTATTTCGGAGTCCTCAACTAGTCAATTTCCGAATCATATAGCATGTTTTATCAAAACCGTAAACAGCCCCTCCTTGACCGAGAACGTTCGATTACGTGTCGAATATTTATTGAAGTGGTTATGCACGTCAACATTGCTTCGTAAACTACATGTGAAGAAGGGCATGGTTGCTGCGTAATGCACTGCACGTACATACGTACATCAATAGAAGGTGATGGCGACAGATTGATATAACGGGATATTTGACTGTGACATAGTGACACAGTCACATTGAGTACCAATAACCATTGTGCAATGTGCATGTATCTTTTTCTCTGAGCTATATTTTTCTTAGGCTGGTTCTCTCGAAGCGGGTGGCAATGTCCTTTCCGTAGTTAAACAGCAAAAAAAGGCACCATAAAACGAGCTACAAGGGTGGAAACTAGAATAGATAAAAGGACAAAATGCGAAGCAAAAAAAAATTGAAAGTATGGACACCAGTCACCAACCCTCTACTCAGAAGGCAAGAAAATGTATCATGATTGTAATTTTTTGGGACTTCTACAAAACACCGAAATGAACACAATGAGCTGTGAAAAGTCTGTGAAAAGTCGGCTTACCCGGCTCGAAGCACGCTGTCGCTTCCTATCGCACAACTGAGCTGTTGCAGTGCGGATCAGCCGGGTCACCAGTCCGGCTGTCTTCAGCAGACGACCTGCAGATGACTGACCCAGCAGGAGACCTGGCTCGACCGGTGTGTTCGTACTTTTATCGCCGGCCTTCATATCAGGGCAGGGCGTGCGACCTCCCTCAGTAGAGCGTGGGAGAGGCGTGTGATTCTCCCGGGTGTCGCCGTGCCGGACGATGGCAACACGGGATCCGTTCATATTGGCCGGCTAATGTTGCCTTAGCTTAACCCGCGCACCGACGGGGGTCTGCGCCAACTTAGTACCGACGGGGGGGGCGGATGACCGCCCCCCCCCCTGAGATCTCGAGAACGAAGCAAGATAGCGACAAGCGGTAAACGGCATCGGATACGCACGGTCAAGATCTACAATTTTTACAAAGGTCATTTTCAGGTCAGGTCAAAGATGACGTCACAGGGGTCGAAAAAGTCAAAATGGCGGCGCTAAATATGGATAAAGTTTTTCTCGAATAACTTTCGAATTAGTCAAGATAGGAACAAACTAAGGGCATCATCGTGATCCTCTCGTCAATCCGCATCGAATGATATATATGTTGACCTCGAAAGGTCAAGGTCAAAAGTTGACCTCAGGTCACGTGACCTCGAGGTCATCATGTATATTATTCGATGCGTCTTGACGAGCTGAACACAATGAGACCATCCACGCGTCTGTATCTTGTTCCTGTACGGAGTTATTGGCCAAAAACCTTTGGTGACCTTTGATGACGTCACATGACCTCACAGCTGCCCAACAGCAAAACAGACCTCAAGGTAGTGAAGTTTGATCGTATATGAAGTCATGTATGGTATATGGGGCCATTCCGACCCGTTTTAGTGGTAAAAACAGGGAGTTGATTTTTCCCCCATTGACTTATAATGGGGAGGTCGCGAAATTGACCTGACCTTAGGTCACCGATATCAAAATTCCGAGATATACAAATTGTAGCTACTAATGACCTAATAACATCCTGCGACTTTCAAAGGCCTCCGACATCTGCTGTAGCTCTGGCACGGTGACAAAGTTGCAAAAAAGTGACTTGAGGTTGGGTCATTCAAAGTGACCTGGTGACCTGACCTTGAAAGGTAGGAGGTTCAAACTTGCACACCATGTGTAAAATTGATAAGGGAATAGTCATACCAAATTTCGCGGCGCTACGCGCCGCAGTTTTCCCGCTATTCGCGAAAAACCTCAGGGGGGGCGGATATCCGCCCCCCCCCGTCGGTGCGCGGGTTAAGAAGTTACAGCAGTTAAGTTGAAGATATTTGAGGTGAGCATGAAACGACTTAAATGTGTATGAACATGTTAAGGAATTGCCTGAGCCTTTCGAATTGTTTTGTTGCATTTATGTAGAAAAAGAAGACGGGCCTTGGGCATTAATTTAATTTCGAATGTTAGCAATTGCTTTTAATTTTACAACCGATTACAAGCTGTGGCCTACAAGACAAACCGTTTTAAGTTTTAACCCGGCACCGCCTGGGCTATTTCCGTACCCACGACAGCCTGGGGGGGGGGGGTCGGATCCGACCCCCCCCCCTGTTATCTCGAGAACCAATGGTCGTATCGAGCCCCGCGAGGCGGCGTTCGAAAGGTCTCTACGAGACCTTCCCAAAGCACTCTTAAGATTTTAAGATTGAGGTCAACTTTCGGGTCAAGGTCAGGTCAAAGGTCAAATTCTGGGGTTTTGCATGATTAGGCTTACGGACAGCGGAATCGACAGCTGCTGCTCGAAACTCACCAAAAATGACCTCAAAGGCCTAGCGAAGGTACCATGTGCGTATAGGGGTCATACTAAGTACGGGTCAAGGTCAGGTCAGGTCACGAAAGGTCACGGTTTTCACTTTCTGCTACATGGGCGTGCGACACATGTTTTATGGCTTATTTTTCACGCCGAATCCGATGGTGATGGTTATATGTGACCCCAAGTCACTGTGCTTGGTGATAAGTGTGCATTGAAAGCATAAAAAATCGTTTATTACATACATAACTAAGAGAGGGCTAAGAAAAAGGTCAATTTTTCAACTTTTTATTTTTGACATAGAAATACACTTTTCTAGACGAGCTTTGTCCCAGGAATCTAGTGGTGCCATTTGTTTTCACATGCGATGTTCAGAAGTGCCTCTAATTCACGAAAATGCTTATGAGGTCACCATGCCCTTTGCATGTTGGAGCTATTTTTTACAATTTGGGGGTCAAAAATTAAGATAGAAAGTTGAAAATTGGGACATCTAATGTTCTAATAGAGCTCTATAACATATATTCCGGTTTTTTGGAAATTCTCAAAATTTTGGATTTTATTAGCTGTTTTTAAAAAAATATAGTTTTTTGAATTTTTAGGGGTGAAAAACGCATTTTATGGAAAATCCGAGATAGCCATTTTAAAGAACTCGTTGAGCTGCATCTATTCATGTCCTTAATTTGCAATTTGCTTCAAACCCTGATTTTTTGCGATTTTTTAAACATTTACCACTTTTTGACTGAAAACGCCATGTAGTTACATCACTAAAATCGATATATCTCATAACTTTTTGGAAATTTTTTCTTCAAAATTGCACAGGAGACGCCAAATTGATGGGGAAGAAGGTATGCCAAGTTTCAAGTCGATATCGTAAGCGGTTCATAAGTTATTCAAGAAAAACGGAGGGGGGGTCGGATCCGACCCCCCCCCCCCCCAGGCGGTCGCGGGTTAACCGCACAATACACAATTGCCTCTGGTTAATGGCTATTTAGTATTTAGCAATTGATCTACAACAATAAGATCACCAAAGGGAACCACTCCAACGGTAGAGGCAGGCCAATATGCAATCGTATGAAAGGTTCTGCTAGTTGCTCAACTTTGCACTTCAGGAGGAGACATAGGGCGGGAGAGGTGACGAATTATTCCATCAACAGCCGTGCAAGGTCTCGCGGGAAGTGAAGCACGCTATTTAGATTAAAGTACTGCCACCCAGCGAGTCCGTCTGTTCTGCCTGGTACGACGTCGGGTCGGCAGGGGGCGCCACTGCAGGAACCACCAGTGGACTACGGGACAGGCCCGTCCGCGGTACCTATATTGAATGGGTCCCATCCGTGGGTCACTGAGATGAACCATCTGATTCATCCTACAGTGCTTACGACAGCCAAGTGGTTTATGAAGCTTATCTTTAGTTTTAACTTGTGTGGGGACTTGCTTAACACGCGCACCGACGGGGGGGGGGGCGGATATCCGCTCCCCCCCCTGAGGTTTTTCGCGAATAGCGGGAAAACCGCGGCGCGTAGCGCCGCGAAATTTGGTACGACTATTCTCTCATCAATTTTACACATGTTGTGCAAGTTTGAACCTCCTAACTTTTAAGGTCAGGTCACCAGGTCACTTTGAATGACCCAACCTCAAGTCACTTTTTTGCAACTTTGTCACCGTGCCAGAGCTACAGTAGATGTCGGAGGCCTTGGAAAGTCGCAGGATGTTATTAAGTCATTGGTAGCTACAATTTTTATATCTCGGAATTTTGATATTGGTGACCTAAGGTCAGGTCAATTTCTCGACCTCCCCATTATAAGTCAATGGGGGAAAAATCAACTCCCTGTTTTTATCACTAAAACGAGTCGGAATGGCCCCATATACCATACATGACTTCATATACGACCAACCTTCACTACCTTGAGGTCTGTTTTGCTGTTGGGCAGCTGTAAGGTCATGTGACGTCATCAAAGGCCACCAAAGGTTTTTTGCCAATAACTCCGTACAGGAACAAGATACAGTCGCGCGGATGGTCTCATTGTGTTCAGCTCGTCAAGACGCATCGAATGATATACATGATGACCTCGAGGTCACGTGACCTAGGGTCAACCTTTGATCTTGACCTTTCGAGGTCAACATATACATCATTCGATGCGGATTGACGAGAGGATCACGATGATGCCCTTGGTTTGTTTCTATCTTGACTAATTCGAAAGTTTTTTTTCGAGAAAAACTCTCTCCATATCTAGCGCCGCCATTTTGACTTTTTTGACCCCTGTGACGTCATCTTTGACCTGACCTGAAAATGACCTTAGTAAAAATTGTAGACCTTGTGCGTGCATATCCGATGCCGTTTACCGCTTGTCGCTATCTTGCTTTGTTCTCGAGATCTCAGGGGGGGGGGGTTCATCCGCCCCCCCCCCGTCGGTACGAAGTTGGCGCAGAGACCCCCGTCGGTGCGAGTGTTAAAATTCTGCCTCCCCGAGCCCAGATTTTCCATTCTCAGGCGGCGGAAGGTTCGGGCGAAGAACAAGACATAATGCGTCGTGGAACGAATTCACACCTGCTATACTGCCCTGCCACTTCAAAGGAAGGGGTACTGTACTCCGGTCGGGTGGAGCTCCCCTAGCCCTACCCTCCCCACCATCCCCACTTCATCCCCACCTGTCCTCCCTACACTGAAAACAATTTAACCCAAGTCCCGCGAGTAAACCGGTGTTTTGCGGGTACCCCTATCCGCAACCATTTTTAACCACCCTCCCAGGAGTACAGTAAGGTCCCATTGCAGTGTAGTCGTCCCTGCTATCAGCGGACTTGTTCGCTGACAGCGGTTATATCCGCTCAGAGCAAGTACGACTATACTACACCGCAATGGGACCTAGCACTACTCCTGGGAGGGTGGTTAAAAATGGTTGCGGATAGGGGTACCCGTAAAACACCGGTTTACTCGCCAGCCTTGGGTTAAATTGTTTTCAGTGTAACATCCCTACCTGTAAATCCGATAAGCTCAGGCACATGCTCGCTAAGCTCTGAATTCACTCACTCATGAGGCTAGACTCCGAATAAGATCTGCTCCGCGCTGGAATCGTAGTCCAGCCAGCACCTGCACGAGTAAAGCTGAATTTCAATGAATTACGTGCACAACGGAACCATGTCCGAGCACCTGACCGTATGATCTACGGCACTGAGGGAATTATAACCGGACTAAATACAACTCACGTGTGTCGTGCCAAATAAGCACTTAATTCTGAGTGCATATTACTCTAACTGGTACCTATCATTCATTTATTTTGTTGAGTTTATGTATACCTATTGATGTTTGCCACAAATGATCATTTTGAGAAGAAAAAAATCGTTCGCATCATAAGGCATCGCTTGCCACCAAAACAGGTAAGAAATGCTTTTTGTCAATATTTTTGTTTGTATCTCGTGTGCTTCTTATTCCACGTTGGCAGCATAGGCGTTGCTCAGGGACAGGAGTGGCTTCCGCTGCCAAATCAAGTCCACCCACAGATGTCCGGTGCAACGGTGGTCGCTGACTGCCAACTATATGTGTACAGCCGGCCGTCCCTGTAATAGCTGACAAACCATCCCCACACTACACATGAATTCGCTCAGCATTAGCTTCCCAATCACGTATTACCATATCGACACTGTTCTACCCGCTTCGACATCCCAGAAACAAACAACGATAATCCGCTTCAGAGCATGTAAGAGTGCTAAACGACAGCTACGTATGTTTTACCTATAACCTTGAGGCTGTGCCAAAAAAAAAAATGAATCGGCCTATTGTATCTTGTTCCGTTTGTTCGAGAGGGAGTCTCTTGAAATGCATCGGATGGAAGAGTTGACGGTGTTACAAGAAACTTCAATTAACTCGAGGTCAGATTGTCTCTTTGAAAAGTCGACTATGATTCAATTATTCAAATACGATCGCTGGTCTAGATATTGTCCAAGAAGTTAGGATCAACTTTTCCAGTCTTACCGACTTATTGTACATGCATGTAAGATGTGACATGTAGGTACCCTATAGCGTGTATTTGACGTAAGATGCTATATGTTGTAGAATATACAGAAGATAAAGAGCTTCTGAGACATTTAGTAAACTGTAAACTGTTCTGAGTCATTTAGAAGATTAGGCAATCCAAGACGATTGATTTGAAGAGGAGGAAAAGGGTGTTAGCTTTCAACCTTCTATGACTGAATAACAACATTTAATCTTCTGCTTTTTACTTATTTAAGTTATTTTCATAGCTCTACAACTTCCCTGAAACAGCTAACAACCCCTCCTGCTGTCAGTGGGGAATGCTCAGTTGATGAAGCCCGTAGTAATCCCTACCACCGAGACGCGTGAAGGAATTCGTGTCTCCATGGGCCGTCTCTCTGCGTCGTCCGCTTTGGAGAAGTGTGTACTGTGGCGTGAAGGAATTCGTGTCTCCATTGGCCGTCTCTGCGTCGTCCGCTTTGGAGAAGTGTGTACGGTGGTGAGCGCAACGCACATGCCGCTGCTGATGGTGGGGTTTACCTGTTAGTGTGCCCTTACATGTTAGTCTTAGGTATAACTTTTTACTTTCCTCGACTGGCTAAAAGATGTCATGTTTAAGGTGTAATCCGACACAAGTCACGATCAGGTAAACGGCAGATTAATAACCAGCGCCCTGCTGGGAGGGTGTTTGAACACCCCACCCCCTCCCCCTATGTGGTTTTTGGCACACCTTATCATACGTTAATTCTACACATGTTGTAAAAAAAAATTCAGACCAAGGTCATTCTAGGTCAGGTCACCAGGTCACTTGAAGTGACCTCACCTCATAAAAAAGTTTCAATGTCTGCCATAGCTGCACTGAGTGACCGATCGCTTTGAAACTTTCAGCGATTGTTAAGAGCAATAGCATGTACAAAACGTATTTCTCAGAATTTTGATATCGATGAACTAAGGTTAGGTCAATTTTGCGACCTCCCCATTATAAGTCAATGGGAGAAAATTGAAATGCGCCGCTTTTGGACAAAGCTTATAAAACACTACCAAACACTGATTTTTTTTAATCAGGCCTCCCTCCAACGGGCACTGATCGTCCCAATTACAGGAGGGCTCCTCCTCCTCCCGGCCCTCATTACCCACCCCCCAGGCTACGGGGGATACGTTAGACAATTACAAGTACGTTAGACACATGGAGCATAAAATGGTGTCCGTGACCGCTGCTTATGCCCCTACGAATGGTATCTAACAGTTTTTCGCAAAAAACTTTTGATAGAGGCATGCTAGAGCGATGGAAACGCCTTGGAAACCGCTCGACGATACGGATCGACTGATATGCAACATGACCATTTTCGGTCAGGTCATGACCTTGACCTGAGGTCAAATTTTCAAGTTGACCTTTCAAGGTCAAGTTATAGTTCATTTAGATATAGTTCATAAAGATGCGTCTTGACGAGAGGAACACGATGCCGGTAATAGTAACCTCATGTAAGGCTTTGGTTAAAAGTTATTGCAGAAAAACTGTTTCCTAAAGAAATCGGCTACTTTGGCAGTTTTTCCCCTGCAGGCAAAACCGTTGACGTTAGATCAAATCTGAGAGAATTGCTCAGAAAGGGCGTTAAAAGGACTATCGAATGCGCTTTTCCGCAGCGCTGTTGCTCTATTGGTTCCCGAGTTATGTGTTGGCTTCTTGGAACTTGTCGACATTCGACCTGAAAATCGGCGAAATTTTGCCTTAAATGACCTCTGGTGACCTGACCTTTGATCTGACCAAACAAGTGACCGATGCGATTTCGTCATTATTTTTGGCGCTCTTTCGAACGCCGCCTTCCGCGTATCGCTACGTGGCCCAGTAGCCGAGTTAGAAGGGGTTTGTTCAAACACCCCCCCCCCCTACGGCAGGGCGTTGAAATCCAGGACCCCCAGTCGGGCGCGGGTTAACCCTATTCCTGGCGGGGGGGGCCTCAGGAGCCCCCCCCCCCTCCTGAGGTTTTTTGGTTATTTCTCCCAAACGCTTTGAGCTAGGAAGCTCAAATTTTCTGACTTTTCCTTAAAGGTTTTTACGCAACATTTCTGAAAAAAATGAGTTGATCTCACCTCAGGTCAGGTCACCAGAGGCGGTTTGGTGGCCCTACCTCAGAAAAGTTTGCAATCACGCCAGAGCTAGAGTTTTTGACCGATCAATTTCTTCTCTTCAGGCTTTAGTTAGGATACCAGTATGTGCAATTTGTGTATCTCAGAATTTTCATATCTGTGACCTGAGGTCAGGCCAGACTCGTGACCTTTCGTTTGCAAGCCTATGGGAAAATATTGAAACGCCTCCTGCTTCGTGTAAACGAGTCAAAACCACCCAATTCTTTCAGTATTATGGAAGATTATCTCATCGGTGATGATCCTGGTGCCGCTAATTGACAGGGGCACCGGCAAAGGTAATCTGAGGTCATGTGACGTCATAAATCGTTTTTCTGTCAATAAATCACGACATGATGGTGCTAAAGACTTGTAAGTGGTACCAAACTGCTCGCCTGGTCAAGGCGCGTCGTTTGGTGGCAAACATTAATACCTGCCTAAGCTCATTAGATGAAATGATTGATACCAGTTATAACAATATGTACTCGGAATGAAGTGCTTATTTGGTATGCAGTATGAAGTGCTTATTTTGTCGTTTGGTATGCAGCATGACCATACCCCACAACCTCATTGATGAATGACCTGACCTTGACCTCGGGTCAAATTTCAAATTGACCTGTGAAGGTCATCACATACTTATTTCGCATCGCCTCGGCGAGAGCAACAAAAAATGTATTGGTTTTATGTCTCTATGTTTCTTAGTTTAAACGACCTATCAAACGCCGTTCGCCGTTTGTCGCTGCAATGTGTAGTTTTTGAGATCTGAAGGGGGGCCGAATCGGCCCCCCCCCGCCAGTTTCTTGTCCCGTCGGAGCCCGCCAGGAATAGGGTTAACTAACCTAGGCCAATGCCTCGGAGTTCCAGTAACGGGTGTCATCTGCTACAAGCCACCTCACAACAAGTCCGTTACGTGCCGTGCGCCGTGACCCGGCGACCCCGTGCCGCCCATGTGACGCGGCCTCCCGTGCCGCCCCGTCCAGCCGGGTGGGCCGGCGGTGCCTGGCGGAGGGGGGTCGTCCAGCTCCGCTCGGACAGTGTTTATACTCTCCGAGCCTGGGTCGGCGCGGCAGACGCTCGGGAGCGGCCGCCGCTGCCGCTGGTGCCCCGCCGCCGCCGCCGCCGCCGCCGCGACTGTGCATTGTGCGCCGAGCGAGGGACGCTCTCCGGCCGCGGGGACGCAGGGTGTGCGGAGATGGCCACTGCAGGCGTCATCAGGATGGCGGCGGTCGCAGCCGTCATCGGAGTGGCGCTATCACAAGGTGGGTCCGTGACGAGACGTCTGTGCAGTGGACGTGGGCGGTGACGGGGTGTAGCGACCACCGTTCCACGAGCTAGTGATGTTTATAAACCGTTCTGCCTCGTGCCCTATAAATTGGTGACTTAAATGCCTTGAGTGGGCAGTCGCTCGTCCTCTCAGTGTTGAAGCAGGTTTTGGTGGGGGACATAAGGGCTGAAAGAGCAAAAACATTCGAGGAAGGTTCACCAACCAGTTGCGATTGAGTGATTAAATGTACAAACAAATGTTAATATGACCGTCATTAGCCGCTCTTTCAATGGATTTCCGCTGACATTTAATATGCATTGAAAATATAGTTACCTAACGAGAATTCTTTGTAGCTCATATCAAAGTGATCCAACGTAAGGAATACACTTGTTTTTCTTTATTATTTAATATTGCTGAGCTCGATAGTGATTTATGACGTATCGGGGATGAAATGACATGATTTATAGATTTGCATACTTTTCGATAGGCCAATGCATTTCATGCTGGGTTTTAGATAATCGTCTAATGTTGACTTCTTGCAACACATCACTTTGTAAAACGAAAATTATTTACAAAATATGGCTAGCCTATTTTATGGGTAGCCTATGAGCCAACAATTACGTAAGTACGTGCCAAAAAGACACATTGCGTGACTTGTCTTTAGTGTTGGCTGTCTTTAGAACACTGAAAATTTCTACTCGGCCTCGGTGATCCCCTCACAGCCAGAGTGCGCCCTGCCCATGAGTGGCTGCTATAGGTGTCTTTCAGAAGGTGTCACTCATCACTCATCCGCCGCTGAAACGGTCCGCTGTCATATTCCGCCACACAAAGTATGCAGCTCTCGCATTCCAGTACACGTGTAAGTGGGCTATAAAGAGGTCTGTTTGCATACATGCGAGCTGCTGCGCTCAGAGACTGGAAACACCCCATGTGCCAGAGGTGGACGCGGTTTTCGAATAGCCGTCGTAAACCTGCCATGGACGGCGACGTCTTTCATCAACACTCGTTTATGGCGAAGAGCTGTTACTTTTGCCCCCGTCTAGGACAGCTTTTTCCTTGTCAGCTGTCTCATAAACAATCCGTAGAACGCACGCATCCTATTGCTTATATACGTGTTTGGCTTATGTGCATGATTTAACATACAGTTTAAAATGCACGACGCTGTTTTCCGCGAATGATGTATGTACACTGTACAGCCCTGTGCACACTGCGTGGTATATATTATTTTTTCGACAAATCGATAACTCAAAGACTATGTTATCAGTCGGTCGAAACTCACTGTAACATAGATGCGCCATGCTCCACTCATTCGATTAGGTATATCACTGTACAAAGTATACGCCTAGTGTGGCAGAAAAACGCAAAACTTTGTTTTGGGGGCATATATAATCTTGCGTTTTGTTGCCAAACTGGATGGAAAATCTATACCATGATAAGTCCAATCTAAGGTGCGGAGCCTCGCGCGCCTTGCTGTTACGATTTCCGAGTGCCAGATAGCATACATACATAGTAGGTATTCGAGTTATTCTCGGTTTTGTCGAAAAAAGAATGCCTACCCACGCAGAGTGCAGAGGGCTGTAGGTACCTACATATGCATGCATATTTTTCTAAGGAATTGATGTCGGATGAGTGACATATCATTGAGTTGCATGAAAAATCGCCTTTCATAACGTTGTTGTTTATTGAACTTGACGGCTATCTTCAATCAGATGGGAGTCGTTTGCATATTGTGACAGATAAGAATGTGATGCCATGCAGAGTGCACACCGGAAAGGAAGGCAAGTCTGTGTAGTGCACCGTGGCTTAGATGACGATTTCTGAAGAAGAAGAAAAAACTTGATGTGATACAATATTACCATGGTATATCTAGGCACCAAATTACAGTGGTCATCTGCATCCAAAGAAAATATGCAAGTAGTTCCTTATGGACGAATGTTGACCAGCGCAGCAAACAGGAGAACTGCGCTCCTCGATTTAACAACCAAATTGACAATTCCTTTTACAAGCACTTTAAGAATGTTTTTATACATAAAGGACTAAGTTGAGCGGCACTGGGCAAGTGATACCTATATCAATCACAAAAAAGGCATGGTCGACTTTTCTTGGTGACAATTCTTCTTAGCTCATCAGCACCATATGAAAAGTAGGTACATAAGTCTCCTTGTAATCTAGAAACCGGGGCATGACCTAGTTTCTGGAACCTTGATTTAACATCTCAGACTTCTTATGCCAGTCTTTCCTTGGTAAACACGATAAAGCCTTGAACTTCGGATAGTGTATTGTTGTTCCTTAAAAGTACAGCTCAGAGTTTGTTCAGAGAAAGACGAAAGAGCACTCGTATGAACACTCGAGTTGTTTGGCAATGCAAGCATATTTCACAAACATAAAATGAAGAGTATGAATTATGCAGCAATCATCAAACGAGTAACACTCCAGCAGAGTACATACAGACCATGCTGTCCACCACCCATGCTCTGTGCACCGGCCGCCGCTGTGGCCGCCAGCAGCTACCCTAATGACGCCACTAGTCTGCTCCTCTCCCGTGACAACACACACACGTCACCGCTCCCTCAGTGGAGACGGCCTGTCGGTATAGCGTCTTGCCGCGTGTGTTGCGCCGTCCGTACGCGGCTCGCAGTGCCTGTTTATAGTGGCCCGACCGACCCGCCGACCGTCGCACGCCGAGTCCGTCAGCCCTGCCTCGGACACTCCACATAAATAGTGTGTTTATCTTAGACACAGCGCGGTGGACAGTGCCGACGGATGCCCGGATTTCCAATGATTCACCCGCGACGGCCGGCTTTAGAGCGTGATGGTATGATAGGCATCACGCGCAGCCCGGTACAGCGCGGCCGTCGGATGAACTTCGATAGAATTCGAGGAAGAGATTGCTGCATAATCACGTCGTAAAGTGGAGCTTTTATTTCGAGGAATGCTCGCGCAGGCATTGACGCAGCGACATACCGATGGTCGGTGCCCGATGGAGATTGTTTATAGTCTATAGACGGGCAACATCCGCCTAGGAGCGGTGACTTCCTTGGTCTATGATGTCATAACATGTCCACATACCTGTGGCGCAAATGGGCAATACAGTCGGTAAGTTCAGGACAGGCATGTGCAGATCCTTTGCTGACTGCCGCTGACTTTCCGCACAAACCTCCCAGATAGGCGCATAAAACACTTATAAGGCCCATGAAAATTACCAGGGATTTTGTTACAGCATATATTCTGCGTGAAAGGCTTCACTTAGTCATGGTTGGGTCCCCACTGCATTGAACTGTCCTGGCAGCATTGCAGCATACCGGACCGTAAATGACCTTTTCGTGGCGGCGGCGTCGATGACCCAAGGTCAGCGCTGCGCCTGGGGTTGTGCCGTCTGTCCTCGGCAGTGAGGGGGGACAAATCCGAGCCGCTCGGCTACCGCGCAGTGTCGACCTGATGGCCGCGGACGGCGGAGATAGACGACCGAAGATTACGGCCGGATAGCCGCTATAAATACTGAGCTGCTGGCCAGTTGTGTAACCGGGACTAATACGCACTAAGCAGTGCTAACTGGAGGTGCTTCCCAATTCCTCGATATTTCTGCATGAACTGAGACGTTTATTACGTAATTGGTTGTACGGAAGTTCTAGAGTCTAATTATCCTTCACACCTTTACCGTTATCTTGGAGAAGGACGCCTAGCGAACGGATTCAAGGAAGTAATACATGCTGAAGCACCATTCGACGTCGAGCTCGCGTCGCAGCAGTCAATCAGCAGGCGGGCAGTGGCGGACACGGCCCGCCCGGTCACGTACGCTGGTCGCGACTTGCACAGCCTAACTCCGACTGATGGTGGGAGTAAAAAATTAGCCGGAGAGCTCCCAGACTCTGCGTCGCGGCTGCCACCGAACGGCGCCGCGCTGGCGTCTCGAGCGGCGCCGCGCTGGCGGCTTCGAGAGGCGCCGCTCTGGCGCCGCCGAACCGAAGGTACGACCGATTATCTTAGCCTCGGGTGCCAAGGGGCCACCGCTGACCAGGAACTGACGAGGGACAAAGAGCGGGCACTGGATTGTAAGTGGCAGGGACTGATTGCTGTTAACTACCGGTAGTGAAGTCCAGAGAGAGTGGATATAGATATGAAGATTTTCGAGTGCAGACTATACCAGGATGCGTGTGGTCTAATTTGCCTTATTAGACTTTTGGTAGGTAGAGCCAAGAGCATGCTTCGCTGCTTTTATCTGAGTTAGAATCTCATCTTTTATTGCTGAGACCTCTTCCTGCCTTCCCGTTCAGCTCACGTGCCGTTATGGCCTCTGACATTGGCGGGCCTCCGGACCGCTCAGATTCCTCGCGAGTCTGGCATGCCGAGTGGAGAGAGCTCTGGCCATCCTGAAAGCCCCATCGCTCAAACTAGCCCGACTCCGCGGAGCCGTCCGCGCCATCCAGCCGCCGTATAAGCCATCGACTTGTCTGTCGGCCCGTCGGTAACTCCGTGAGCAGCACTCCGGCCCGCGTAAGTGCGGCTCCCCTGTCTCATCAGCTCAGGCTCATTGCAGCCCGACGGCTCGTCAGCAGACGCTCCCTGGAAAGACCATCACTCGGGGTCAGTTCTGGCCGGCCCCGGCGGGCTCCCATCGCCCCCGGAGTGCGCAGGGAGCCAGAACTGCTTGTCGCGTGCGCGGTTGGGCGGTCGTATCCTGCATTCCGGACGTGCCGGAGACGGGTGCTCGTCTAATGATCAGCGGAGTGCTCCTCGTTTGCATGGGCGCCGGTTGGCGGCCACTGCGGCGCGATCTGACACCGGGTGACACGGCGGCTGACACGACGACCGACGGCGCTACCGCACGCCGCACCGCGCCGCTTCTCGCCACGCCGCGCCACTCCTTAAGCCACGCCGCGCCGGTCCGCGCGGGTCACAGGGTACCTACTGGGGTCGCCGAATGATGCACTGAGGTCAGGCCCGACCGGCAGCCGAGCTGTCTTAGCAAAATGGCCTCACTCGGAGCTGCTTAGCAAGTCATGTCCGCCAGAGAGCGATAAGCCGTCTTGCTTCAGAACTTCGATGCCGTTTTATCACGTGATAAAAGTGTGACCTAGAGAGAGGACGTTCTTTAATTCTGCGTGAGAAGAGGAGGAAATGACTCTGGTGGCCTGGCATAGGCGTGAAGAGGTGTTGCATCACAGAAATGATACAGTCTTTTTGTGTATTGATTTCAGCGTGTTGACGAACGACAATCAACCCTAAATAGGTACCGATTATTCATTAAACGATGGCATACACCATAATCAGGGCGGTATTCTATGAATCTAAGCGGAAAACATCTCAAAGAAAATATTCTGATTCGAAGTGCAAATACATCAACATGGAAAAGATAACGTTGAAATAAGAGGTGCCATTTACCGACCCACGATTTTGTTCAATCATGTCACCAACACATCCGCCATCGTGTCTGACAAGCCTTCCCATATCTTTCCGTCAAAACCACGGTACATCACACAAATCCCATCATTTGCCAATTGGTGAGGACAAATCTCCAGTGCCATTAGCGCTATCGGGCCCGCATCAGCCGTGACGTGGCTACTCCCGTTACGTCAGCGCCGTATCCGGGTCCCGCAGCCCTGTGTCACCCAATCTCCAGGACAGGGCCCGGCGGCGCCTACACGGGGTGCCACGTCGGCACCGCTGCCTCTCGGAGCAGTGCGGTACCGCTGCCTCTCGGAGCAGCGCGGTACCGCTGCCTCTCACCAGCTAGAGCTGGGTCAGCTCCCGGATACCAGAGATGCACGTGCCTATAGGATGGGCTCGGCCGCCTCCGCGGGCCCGAGGGCCACCGACATCCCGGAGATGCTTCGCTAGGGTGTGGGAGACGGATGATGAAATATCCGCAAATGGGAACATGACTGATAAGTAGGTGTTCTGTCACAGTTAAAGCCGAGTTTGGCGGACGTAAAACGTTTTCAATGCTTTATAGGCGTCTTGATTAGTTTATGAACCAATGTAAGTGATAGGAGGCAAAGTTTAGTCGTTCTAGCTGATAAATGACCATAATCGAGATAATTAGCCACTAATCACCAATGGCTTGTCAGGAATGTTAGAAAAGCTAGACAAGGCCAGGTACCGGTGTTAAAAGTACGATGCGATTTAAAAGGTAAGCCTTTTGCTTAGGGAGTCTGGTAATGTCATATAGAAACACCGCGGCTTTAAAGGCAACAAATCCTAATTCAGAGGACATTTGATATTCCTAACTTCTTTCTCAATAACGTTATCTGAGTTCAGTTACAGGAGAGACGCGATAGCTGTATTCCTGTAGTGATGGCGTTCGCCACACACGACCAACTCATCGACCATGGTATAGCCAACTGCGCCAATTGACCACGAGGTCACATAAAGTCCCGCGATAGACTTTCAAGTATCAGTGACCAGGCGCGCATAGCACGTTGGGCGATAATGGACGCTAAAAAACTCTCTCAACATCGGCGACCGTCGTCAGGACACGACCGTGGGTCACGTCCCAGATGTGAAACGTGCAGTTCTATGAAAGTAAACAGTAATTAGCATTGACTTACTTGGCCTGGAATTAATATGGAGAGAGTCAGAGATGGGGTCAAATTAATGGGTGCACGTGCAAGGTCATCTTCTTTGTTGACTTTAGCCAATTTATCGGAAATATTGAAATAGATTTAAATTAGTTTGAGTAATTCAAACGACTGCTGTCCTGCCCATTAGAACGACACCACTATATTGCCGATGGCGACTCAATCCCACAAAGAGCTCCAGCCACTCCTTCTAACTACTTCTTTACGTTGTGAACCTCCGCGTCAACATAAAAGGCTAGCAGCTTCAACCACTCCTCAATAACTCTATCGCTAATCGGTTTTAACTCAGAGTTATGACCGAATCACTCAGCCGAACCCGGTCGCCTCGTGGTGAGCTGGCTTTGCGCTGCGCCATTGGAACTGCGTGGGCAGCCTGTGAGAAACCGTAGTCGTACCCCCGAGTTACCAAACCGACGGGATCGCGGACATCGACCGGCGCGAGGGTGTGACCCCTGTGCTAGCGACGCGTCACCTCCGAGGTCTATTCACGGCGCGCTAGGCGCCCCCGCCGACACCGTCACCAGATCACCAGACAGGCTCGTGCCACTACAACACCCCGCGCCCGAAAATGTGTCGATGGTGAGCACGATAGCCAACAGCCCCGCACCCGATCGAGGCGCCGTCTGTTCGATAAGGACACGGATGGCGCACCCGTCGCGGGCGTATTTGGCACAGAATGACCAGAACTCGACGGTGTCGGAAGAGATTCCACGATGAGATGCAGCTGTGGAAGTCAATGCTGATGCAAAAGGGTGCGGGAGAAAGTCGAGGACGCCTGATTGAAGTGGCCAATCTGCTTTCCAGTTTCCGGTAAGGAAACTAGCGCAGTAAATGGCAAGCTTAAGGGGAAATAAATAAGTAGGCTATGCAGGTTACAAATGATGCCATTGATCACACAGAAGTGAATGCTTTCCAAGACTGAGCTTGTCTATTTGTGCAGTTCTATCATAGTTCACCTGTATCAATCTTGTGTGCGTCGTTATGAATGCGATCCACATTGTAATGTTTACTATCAGTGACAAATGACGTCGGATGCCGGAGAGAGCATCTGAGCAGACACGGGTGAAGTCATCCGCCCCGGGGCGCGGCCCCACCTGGTGCTCGGTGATGGATCGTCCTCCCCCGGCCAGCGGCAGAGACGGTGCCGAGGGTGGGCCCGCGCCCAACTGCCGTATTCGGCGGTCACTGCATATTCCGAGCGGGGCATCCAGCGGCACAGCTGGGGCATCCAGCGCCGGCCGGCATTGACCCAGGCGGTGACGTCACTGGTTCCGACGGTGACGTCACTGGTTCCGCCGGATGTGGAGCCCCTCCCGTCCGGGCGGGCGAGAGGCTTAAACACAGGGCTGGGTGGCTGTCCTGTTGGATTTGCTGATTTCGTACTTTGTCATGGGGAAAGAGGCAACGGTTGAATATATTCCATTCCTGGTGACCGAATACTGATGGAGCTACAATTGCCAGTACCTATTTCTGGTCTCTCAACATCCTAGTACACTACGAGTGAAAGCAGGCGACTGCAGAGACGCTTCTATGCCGATCCATGTCATCTAGTGACAGAAGCGACCTTGATATCGCGATCATCCACTCCGCTCTGAGCCTGTCTCTAAGGCGGTCAGATCAAAGTCACGTGTCCCGACCACCCTGCACAGCTGACACCACTCTGAGGAGAGTGTCTCCGCGATCACACATCACCACCTCCACGTCTGTATGTCGTGACACCACGCCGTGTCACCGCGTGTCATCGCCGTGTCAGCACACCGTGTCACCGCCTGTATAGGCATGCACAGCTGGCACAGTCTGAAAGTGTGGAGAGATGTAGTTTGTAGAGAGTATCGAACTTCGTCTCTATGTCAGGCTCACAAACTCAGGAAGACGTTCGCGCTCAGTCGAGATGCAGCACTCGTTCGATTCCCATACGATGATATACTGGTGCGAAGATGTGCCCCAGTCGTGCATGATGCTGTTGCAGGATACCTGCAACATTGGCAAACTATTAACTAATTTTGTTTCACTATACATATGCTGCTTTCTGACACTTGCACGCCTGTCTCTCACAATTATTTTATCGCGCAGCTCCTTTCTTCCCAGAGCCACCGTTACTCGTGTTTCTCTCGGCTTTGTTCACTAACCTCTGTGTACCGCGCTGTTCCAGACGGTCTGTCGTGCGCCAACAGCGGCCAAACGTGGAGCCACCAGTGCAACACGTGCAGCTGCCGGGAGAACGTGATCGTGTGCACCAAGGACAGGTGCTCGGGCACCGACCGCAGACCTATCACTGAGGGTGAGACGGATAGGGCCGACTGGGGCGCGGCTGTAAGCCATTAAGCCGCTCCAGTGAGAGGGCCGAGGCAGTTCGAGAGGAAGTTTGCTTGATTTTCAGAACGTGTCTTTCAGACGTCATTGTCTGAACGCCATTAACACACAGTTGATATGTGGTAGGTATTGCACGACTTTATTGATCTAAAGAATGTATAATAGTTGAGCAATTACAAGATATTTCCTAAATTAATGCCGTATTTGATCAGCGATTACCCACACTTTCCCCGCTGACCCCCTGTCCTGTCCGCAGCCTCATGCCTGGCCGGCACCAAATGGAAGGACGCGTGCGGTAACACCTGTCTGTGTGACCCCGCCGGGAAGAGGCGCTGCACGGTCGGCTCGTGCCCTCCGCGCGTGCGCAGTGACCTCAGCATGACCTTCATTCGCACAACGGGGGACGCGTGTGCCGCCGGCGACACGTGGCAGGTCGACTGTAACAACTGCTCCTGCCAGCGCGGGAAGGCCGTCTGCACGACAGAAAAGTGTCCTCGCCGACCGCCGAGAGAACCCAGTGAGAGAGGGCTAGATGCAGGGTGGGGGAGAGAGAGAGAGAGAGAGAGAGAGAGAGAGAGAGAGAGAGAGAGAGAGAGAGAGAGAGAGAGAGAGAGAGAGAGAGAGAGAGAGAGAGAGAGAGAGAGAGAGAGAGAGAACAATGAGCGGATATAAGTCGAGGCGGTCCAAAGCCTCAAGTTAATTGCATTATTTATACATGGAATACCTATCAATTAAATGACATCATGAATGGAGGTAATAATGGTGTATACAGGACGGTGGACGTTGATTGCAGAGACGATTCAGCAGCATTTAGCGCGTGATATATACGTGTTCATCGAGGTAGGAAACAAGGCACAATTGAATCTTATTGTGGCTAGGGAAGCTACAATCACTGGGGAGTGATTCATAATAGATTAGTACAGATAAATCCCATCACCGAAGGCTTTCATCATGGCCGACCTTCACGTCATGTCAAAACCACGGATGTTAACAAGGCGTGATGACCAGCGGAAACTGCTGGACGCTGCAGACGACAATCTAACTCCATGATTGTGTATGAACCGGATCCCCGCTGAGCGAAACTCCCAGCATTATCGCACAGTCACGCTAACCTGCGACAGCTACGACTATTGAAAGTCACAAGTGATGAGACAACTCCAGGCTGTTAGTATTGACGATATATAGCAAAACATGTTTACCGAGACCCTTCATTCATCTCCGTATCACTCTGCCCGTTTCTCCCCCTATCAGTCACCTGCGAGCCGCACGAGCAGTGGGAGGACGAGTGCGGTAACCGGTGTGAGTGCAGCGGGGACGGGCTGGCCTCGTGCACAATGCTGCCCTGCGAGCCCGGTCAGCGGGCAGGGGTCCGGCGGCGGCCCATCCTGCAGTCGGGCGACTCCTGCTCCAACGAGGGCAGCCGCTGGAAGCAGGACTGCAACGAGTGCGACTGTGTCAGCGGCGTGGTGCGCTGCACACGCAGACTCTGCCCCACCGGAGTACAGCACAACAAGTACGGTAAGCGAGGCGATACAGCAGATTTGGAATAGATGATGCCTGACTGAAGAGATAGGTAATGTCTCTCCTGTTCTGTAAGGGACTGTAAGGGACTGTAAGGGACTTTAAAGAGATAAATAATTGAAATAACGAAACATACCTAATTGAGTAAAACACATGATAATGAACCGCGTTTTGCTTTCTTCTCAGATCATAGGTCACCTAGCTTTGAGAGAAATTGGCTAGTGTTCAGCGTCTTCTCCTCCTCTCCTTTCGTAGTCTTCCCTCTTCTCCTTTCTATCCACTTTCCGTCTGCCCGCCTACCCTCTTCTCCCCGATCCCATCTCCATTCTTCTACACGGTCCCCGTTCAGTTTGGACGGCCTCTGAGCGCCGAGTGACGGACCACCCGGGCGGCTGCCGCCCTCCCCTCCTTTCCAGGCAAATGTCAGCTGAACACCCGCTGGGTGGACGAGTGTGACAACCAGTGCTACTGCACCGACCGGGGAGTGCCCTCGTGCACTCTCAGGGAGTGCCCCTACGGCAGGAAGGTGTGTGGACACGGGCGGGGATGTCGGCGGGTGCGGGAACATATGGGGGAAACGTCAGGAGGGCGGGGAAACACGTGGGACGAGAAAAGCAGCCGAGAGCGGGGACTGCGATACGGCATGACGCAATAGCACCGCAATGCAAAGCGACTGCAACGCCCGATAGTAGGCTAACACTGAATGACCGGCTGCGTTTGCTGATACGTTAGTTGACCTTTTCATTTTTTTAATGTGACATCTTTATACTTCTGGTAACATTTTATGTAGAAGTAGTACAGGCATCGCATAAAGTTCTACGTTTTGGCTCAACACCGCATTTGAATGTGGCACGAAACATCGATGAAGAATATTGTGTTCAGGAACTTTCCCAGTAGGTTCAGAAGATACCCTATCAATTTGAGGTGTCATTTAGTATCACCTGCCTCATCCAATGCCTCTGTATTTCCCCCTCTGCCTCAGGAGGGTGTGATCTCCCACTATCTGCTGGACGACGGCGCTCCGTGCTCTAACGAGGGCGAGCGATGGGAGCAGGGCTGCAGGGTGTGCCGGTGTTCCTCGGGCCTGGTGAGGTGCTCCCAGCGCGGCTGTGCCGAGCTCAGCCAGCGGGCGGCGCTGCGGCCCGAGCCGGAGTGGCTCAGCTGCCGGGAGGACACCAACTGGGAGGACGAGTGCGGCAACATCTGCAGCTGCTTCCTCGGAGGACCGCTCTGCACCAGGTGGGTGGCGCTCGGAGAACCGCTCTGGGGCAGGGGATGGGGTATTTAGAGGACCACTCTGGGCCAGGTCAGTGGGGCTCGGAGGACCACTCCATGCACCAGTCATAGGATGGGCTCGGGGGACCACTCTGGGCCAGGTCTGGGAGATCCGGAGGACCTTCCTAAACAGGCACGGCTCGGCAGGCAGGCTCGGAGGACCCTTCGCACAAGGCACGGCTAGGGCCAGTGCACGGTTAGAAAAAGTGTTATGAAAGTATTATGAAGAAGTACCAACGCTATCGTGAACGCTGCATGTGGTTGACCTGCGTCGCTGACTAAGTTAATCTGAAGATGCAAACGAGGTTCGTATTGTATCTGGTTTCACGTGACGGTGTAACGAGTCGAAGGCTGTTACGTCAACATTACACAACTAGCACACAGGGGATCGAATTCCGGCACACACGTGTCGATAGTTAGACTCAACAACCCACAGATAAAGGCCATTTCATTAGGGGTGTCCGAATTGTCCATTCCGGACAAATTGTCGCCTGCCAACGGACATGCTTGGGAGACTTATCGTGCACGTCGTTGGCACTCGATTTCTTAATCTCTGGTCGGCCTGTCGACGAATTTCCAGCTTGTTGTCAGGAGACAGGCGAATGCCCAGTGCAACACAGGCACACCTGCGCTGTCAACCACACATGGAAACGGTGTCACCACACCTCAGATAAATCTCAGCCAGTCAAAAATGCGGCTTATCTGTCTGTTGCTGAATGCCTTATACGAAAGGCGACAGTTGTATTATTTCCTAAAATGACGCGAGGCATCTTAGATAAAGTCCAAAAGTCAGCCATAAAGATGTTTGTAATATATACGAACCGGTGCAACTGCCCACACTTCTCTTTATAAGCGTCTAACCGTGACAATGTGTTCTGTCGCCAGGATGGGCTGTCCCGAAGGGAGGACTGCCGGCAAACCGGTCAAGTTCATCACCTTCGACGGTGACGTGTGCACCAATGAGGGCGAGTCGTGGAAGGACGACTGCAACACCTGCAGCTGCACCAACGGACTAGTGAAGTGCACCAAAAAGTTCTGCAAGAAACGGAGGCAAAACGTCCGGTTCATCTCACCGTTCATGGGTGAGTATTCGAACAGGCACATTTATGTGTTAGACGTTTCGCAGCCTACGTGTTAGTCGGCTTGTTTATGTTTCACACTAGCGGATCCAGAAAGGCGTTCTTGGACGCTGCGTGGGCATACCCTCAAAAAATTATCCAACTTCCAAAAACTCATCGGATGTTGATTCCTTACGCACTACTGTGCCGTTGAAAACAAAATTCCCTCATAAATGTTGTTAAATTTTCGTTTTATTAAAAAAAAAACGCAAAGTTCCGTCGATTTCTGGCGCTGCAGGAGGAGGGGGCATTTGCCCTAAATGCCCCCCCCCCCCCCACCCCAACCCATCGACTAGCCAGTGATGTTTAATATGGTAATAAGATGTTTCTTTCAGAACACCCGAATTTTATTTTCTTCAAAACTTCCAGAGTATGTAGAAAGCGAACCGACCAATGTTTCTCAGCTGTCCGTTCCGCTGATCCCCCGCCGCCCACTAACTAACACACGACCTCCTCCCCGTGTGTTTCAGCCATGACCTGTACCCCGGGGAAGCGCTGGATCGACGAGTGCGGCAACACGTGCTTCTGTCCGGATACGGGCCACTCCTCCTGCACCATGATGGCCTGTCCGCCCGGCAAACGACCCATGGTGCCCGTCAGGTGCGGATGAATACAGATGCTCAGAAAGAGGAATTCTCGCGGCTCTCACAGGGTAGTCAGGCCTCAGAGCTCTGTTCTCACAGTCAAGTCTTTGGGGCTCTGAGTTCTCTTAGCTCTCACAGCCCTTACCTCCCACAGCCTACAGCTTTCGAAGTTCCCATTTTCACAGTTATTATCCAGTTCTAATAGCTCTCATAGCTAACAGCTCTTCCAACTAGCAGTTCTCACAATGATAAGCTTTTGCACCGCAGCTCAGGGGTGGGTGCCTAGTAACCATGCGGGTTCGGCGACTCGGGTTTCTGCTGCAACTGAGTTCCGCTCGTAGCAGCAGCTCTGACCCCGCTAGTGTACATTTGGCTCGTATTTTACCGCTTAGGTGCATAGCTTAGAGGTTCGGAGTAATGCGACGTTCCTTCTTGGAAATGTATTGTAATTACTGTTGTAGATGCAAAGAGGAATAGTCATGGAATCATTTAGGGTAGCTGGGGAGACGTGCTTAGTTACGGCTGTTGCTGACCGGTAAAGCATACGGGCTGAATATTACTAAGTAGCTAAGATTTGACACTATCTTATGCACGATTAACCGCGATAGGCTAAAAATTACCAAGTTGTGCTGTGTTCGCGCAAAATTGTTTACTCTTTGAATCCACAATACATAAGATAAATCGCCTCGCAAAGCATAATTATTTAAGAAAAGGCTCACCCCGTGCCCCGCTCCTCAGGTACATCATGGCGGACGGGGACACGTGCTCGGAGGAGGGCAGCGCGTGGCTCCACGAGTGCAACACGTGCCGCTGCGTGGACGGAAGGGTGCGGTGCACCAAACACCGATGTCACCGGCTGCTCAGGGGCACCGTTCTGGTCGGTGAGGACGGTGAAACGAGACGCCGAACGCAGTACTAGAGCCGCGCGAACGAGCTTATTGTGCCGGGAGGATATCACTGGCGCTGATATTATCGTGCTTGTGACAGCTTGGTGCGGGCATTACTCACTTATGTGCAATAAATGTTTTCAAAATTTATGCTCGCGTTTTTGGCGTACTCTCACGCATACAAGCACTACAAACGTGCATCCTTTCTGGTACTTACAACGGCGTGCTTAGCATCGATTGCACCAAATGGAGCAAGCAGTTGCTAATTTTTTTAATGAATACTGGAAACGCATAGGGCCAAGAATAGTCAATACTTCATGCAGAGGGTTCCGTGGCTGCTTAAGCATATCAAACTCATCTCAAGCCTTCCTCAAAATTAGCGACAGTTTTGAGCCCCAAGATGTCGCTGGAGCCTTATATCTGACCAGAATATTAAACGCGCATTCCAAAAAGAATTCTCTTCCCGGAGATATTGTTCTGATAGTCAAATAACGCAGCCAACTGCGCCGCAACGTAGCTGAGATCGAACTCAATATGCACGCCGGCAAAACTCGTTCACGTGTTGGCCAGCGCTGCGGCCGAGTGGCTGACGGAACTGCCGATAGGTTACCTGGAACGCTCGGCTGTGGGGTGACCTCTGGAACCCTCCGGCAGCTCGCGAGTCGGGGACCGGTCAGGACAAACAGTGCCAGGAGCAGACCGAGTGGACGGACGAGTGTGGCAACTCGTGCCGCTGCTCCCCCGGCCGCCGCGTCATGTGCACCACCAACGTCTGCGCGCCCGGAAAACAGGTCAGTGACGTCAGACTGTGACGTGGATAGTGACGTCACCGCGAAGTGACGTAGACGGTGGTCCTGGCGATTTGACGTTAGCTTTAAAAAATTATACTGGTTTGGTGCTCTCGTCCCAGCAATGCGGTGGGCAGCATGTTTAATAGATGTTGTTGTCTACGAGTATCTTGACCTATCATGCACAGGGATTCCGGGTGCCTGTGTGGTCTGGCCTTTTCGAGGCGCAGTGAGAATTTACCGGTGCCATATGGCTACCAAAAATAAACAGTCTCGTATGGTATTGCCTCCACGCCTGATAGGTGCATGAATTATGGCATGTTTATGAATACAGTTGTCTATTTTTACACGTCAATATATAGCGCCGGGGGTGTGAGTTATGACCGATGCAGCCGCACTATTTCCAGTCAGTCATCTTTACATAGGTAAGCTTCAAATCACCAAGTACGACTCTGAATTACGTCCTTCATTATGACCTCAATTACAGGCGGGTCGCCCGGTGAAGAAACGACCAAAGCTGGGCGAACCCTGTGAGGACGGCAGTGACCCGTGGCTGGACGACTGTAACACGTGTCAGTGTGTGTACGGGGTGACAGCGTGCACCCGAGAGACGTGCGCCCCGCCAGAGCAGGAGATGCACGGCGTGCCAGGTAACTGGGCCAAGGTCACGGTCAAGGTCAGGGCAGGGATACCTACTTCAGGGAGACGAGACGGGAAGGAGCCCGGATGTTGCAGAACCGAGCGAGAGTCGTGCATTGCTGGTATGTGTGCTGTGTGAGGGGCTGCTTGGCCGAGGTCTGATGCATATATTCGTGGTTTTGTGCCTACATGAAGTAGGGTGCTCAGCCAACCATGAACGCGGTGAGGTTGACATGAACGGTGAAGGACGTATGTAGAATATTTTAAATTCCATCTCTGGCGTGACGGTATGCAGGCTGTTCATCAAGCAAACAGTACTCATTCCCTAGCTCCAAAGTGTTGGTCCCTCTAACACTGATGCATCCACCGAGTGACCTGTTCCTTCCCTCTGACCCTAATCCCTAGTCTGGCCAGTGATCTGGCCCATGACCCGTGACCTGGCCAGTGACCTGACCAGTGACCTGACAAGTGACTCAACCCGTGACCTGACCCGTGACCTGACCGTGCCGTCGGCAGTGCAGCAGTGCCGACCCGACTCGAGCTGGCTGGACGAGTGCGACAACCAGTGCGTCTGCAGCGAGGACGGACGATCCTTCTGCACGCTCCGGTCGTGTCCGCACGGCCGCCAGTACGGCGTGCCCAAGAAGTTCGTGCGCGCCGTCAACTCCACGTGCACGGACGAGGGCGCCACGTGGCGCCAGGACTGCAACACGTGCTCGTGCACCGACGGCAGGGTCACGTGCACTGAGAACCGTTGTGAGGCGCAGGCGGGCATTGTCGCCAGGAGAGGTGAGTGGGAAACATGAGGGAGAAGTGGGAGGAATGAGTGGAAAACGCAGGGGAGAGGGGAGGAATGGAAAACATGGGGCGGGGTGTTAGACTGCGAGAAATAAAGCTGGGACGAACTCTCGGTGCAGTGGGAAAACATGGTTAACAGCCTCAACAGGATTGGTCTGCACTCTGCATCGCATAACTGAAATGAGCATAATCTCGTTTCTCAAGTATCCTTCCGTGATACCGTGACTCCACTATGAGAATGTCCTCTAGCCAGTTCTGACGTATTTCGGGCAGGTTCCCGCTGCGTCCCGGGCTCCAAGTGGACCGACCAGTGTCTGAACACTTGTCGGTGCACGACTCTCGGACAGCCCACCTGCTCGTCGAAGGCCTGCCCGCCCGGAAAAACGGTCAGTCGCTATACCAACGCCTTTTCAGCGTAAGAACCTCTGCTGTGAAATGTTAGGTGCATAACACCCGTCTGATTAGAGCAGACATTCATTTTTCGACTGTCAAACACATTGTCAGCATAGTTGCTCAGTTAACGGTAGTTAATCTTTTTTGTATATGTAATAGTTATCAAAGATGCTAGCGCCTATTCTGCCATAGTTTTACTTGAGCATATAATAATTATACAATAAATCAAAACCTGACAATGAGCTGACTCTAAGCTGACTGCTACAAAGGCTAAGCCTAGCTGAGCTGCTCGTTGGATAAAAGTGCAGAGCCATATACATACTCGGAAAATATTTGGAGGCCGTTTATGCGGGAGTATGACTGATGAAAAGCAAATTAGATGAGTACACTGGTCTTGTAATTCTGACATATCCGAATGGATCGCAGAGCGGGAGCTTGACTGATAAACGTTTTGTAACTACAAGTCGTACTGAGCTATAAATGGAAAATCCGCATGTCTACCGGCGACAGACAAAGCTGTATGCGTGTAAGACACCCTCACCGTTACACCCATTCTCGGTACTGGCGTCTTACCCCAGATCATCTGCCGCATAACGAATATGTCGGCGATTACATTACACGCTTTGGTGACGCCTTCCCAAGATGTCACTTCTTGGTCTGACATCTTCTTCAGCAGCTATCAGTAATATCTACGCGTGTACCGAGTGAGACGCTGACCTGGAGTTCCCGCACTCCTGGCCCGTGTACCGCAGGCGGGACTGGGAGTGCCGATCGAGCAGCTGCCCAGAGCCGGAGACCGGTGCAGTGACGAGGGCAGCTCCTGACCCTCCTGACCCGTGTACCGCAGGCGGGAGTGCCGATCGAGCAGCTGCCCAGAGCCGGAGACCGGTGCAGTGACGAGGGCAGCTCCTGGAAGGAGGACTGCAACAAGTGCTCCTGTCTGGACGGCGTGGTCACGTGCTCCGAGCACATCTGTACACCCACCGAGGCCAACGACGAGGGTATGTGACCGAATAGATTATCGTACGTACATCCTTATTTTAAATACCTTCGTGGCAGACATGTGCATGGATCCAAGTGATGGATCTATGATCTCAGTGGATCTCGAAGCAAAGTACAGGTTGGGATCTATGATCCCACCGGTCCGGCGTGAAAAATACATCTTGGATCTATGATTTACATATGATTTGACGATAAATAAAGAACAGGGATCTACCTGTTATTATATGAGTGGATCCCAACATGCACCACATTTGAAACCATGTTTTAAAGGTTTCTATGCCAATAAGTGACACAAAACTATGGATTATGACGTGCGATCACATAAAATCACTAAAACAGAACGTTTGTGAGTTGAAACAAGTGTTTTTTTTATATATATGTGTTGACAAAAAATAAGTGAGGATCTATGATCTCACTGGATCTCAAGCAAAAAATGAGACTCGGATCTGTGATCCCTACGGATCTCTCGATTAATTACAGAGCTGGATGTATGATCCCGTCGGATCCGAGATCAGGATCTGTGGGATCAGATCCCAGATCCATTTTCTCGGATCCATGCACATGTCTGCAGTTCGTGGTCATTCTATGGTGTCTTTTGATCGAATCATTATGTGCCGCGCAAATATGATGGTTTAGCATTCAGACGGCTTCCATAATAATAGCGACTTTAAATGTTTGCACATTATTCAAGCCTGTAAATATAAACACATTTGGAAAGCATCCAGCCCACACTGGCCTCGCATAATTATTCTGGCCGTCCAGAATACCATCTCAGCGTCCAGAAAGATGATATTCTGGACGCTGAATATCATCCAGCGTCCCACACCCACCCCTGTCCGTTCACCTCCGACAGGCCCGTGCCGTGATGGCGAGGAGTGGATCGACGAGTGCACCAACCGCTGTAAGTGTATCGGCGGCGAGCCGCGCTGCACGCGCCGGCCGTGCCCCGCCGGCGGCCGGCCCGGCGTGCCGGTCCGGTTCGTCGTCCCCGACGGAGAGACGTGCTCCAACGAGGGCGAGCGGTGGCAGGAGGACTGCAACACGTGCCGCTGTCAGAACGGCCGCGTGGTGTGCTCCAAGGAACACTGCGTCGGCCTGGCCAGGGGCGGTGAGTGGGCGGGGGCGAGGGAGTGGGAGAGAGAATGGGAGAGAGAGTGGGAGAGAGAGAGAGGAGAGAGACGGGGAGAGAGAGAGAGGGAGAGAGAGAGGGAGAGAGAGAGAGGGAGAAATAACAAGATATCTCACGGAAACCTCACCACTTGATAATTACTAACATTTTTCTTGCATTCAATAATTTGTTGTAGCGGAACTATTTACAACTTGTGTGTGTATCAGGACTCTTGCAGCTTGGAACCTTTTTTTTATTCATCCACATGGCTCACCCAACCCAACTGTTATCATTTCGCAGGTGGAAAGAAGAAGCCGGGCAACTGCCCGTACGTGCCCCAGGGGACCCTCGGGGTCTGCATAAACGGCTGCAACGGCGACGACATGTGCGAGGGCGATGAAAAGTGCTGCTCCAACGGCTGCGGCGCATTGTGCATGAAGCCAGGTCAGTCTCTCGCCGAACGGCTGGAGGGCGATAAGAGAGGTATGGGCCTGTTTAGGCTTTTTGATGTGGCGTAAGAAGTAATACACGGAGTTTTTTTTCGATAAATTTGTTTGCAGTGTTGATATGTATACTGTGTAGCTGTATTTATGGCATTTGCTCCTTCTTCACTCTTCAGTAAATGGCTGTATTTAGGTCTGAAGTTCTGTCACCGTCTCCGACAGACTCGTGTCTGGAGGGCATCTCCTGGACGGAGGACTGTAACGAGTGCGACTGCCTCAACGGAGAGACCGTGTGCACCAACAACATCTGTGCCCAGGAGGAGATCCAGTTCGACCAGGCGTGGACCGCGCTCATGGGCCCGGCAGAGTTGCCCGTCTTCGACGCAGATCCATTAGCCTCAGGTGCGATGCCGCTAATGACCAAATTCGGATGCCTACTGGCTCTATGCTTGAAAACGAAGATGATACATATGCATCGTGTTCATTTGAATATTTTACTTAGGTACTCTCAGACTGCTGTTATTTAATTTTTGTCGCTTTAGAATTATTGAGAGCGGCTTTAGAGCGGATTGACAGCGACATTCTTGTCCTGGAAGATATGTTGTTTATGACCCTTAATACTTTAAGTCGTGTCCCTTCTATGTCTCTACACATTTGTACGTTTTACAGAGTGTGTGGAGGGTAGCGTCTGGAAGAAGGACTGCAACTTCTGTGACTGTGTTGGCGGAAAAGCAATTTGCACCAAACGGCTGTGCCCCTCGAAAGCTGAGGACGAGGTCACTGGTAAGATAATATTCTTATAGGCTTTATAAAGTCTGATCTGTAGTTTGCATTGGTCTGGTCTCTCACTCATGTTTTTTTCGAGATAAACGAATAATTCCGTCTTTTTATGGGAGGCCAACTACGGTCACCCACTGGTGTTATTCGTGCCTGATAAATGTGACACTCGATATGAGTGACACGTTACTCCTCCCTCCCCCTTCAGGCGAGTGTCGGGAGGACTCGATATGGACCCAAGACTGTAACCGCTGCCGCTGTATCGACGGAAGGGCCGTCTGCACCATGAAACTCTGCGACACTCAGCCCAGTCTAAAACCAGGTGAGCAGAGTTGGGAAATGAGCTAAATGTTTTATACATGTAGGTAAACGTAGGACCTGGTGCTTTAATCTACACATATCTGATTCCCTCCAAACCAGCCTCCCCACCGCCGCCCCCCGTGCCGGCAGAGGTGGACGCTGTGTGCCGATTGCCACCCGAGGACCCGGACAAACCCAAATGTTTCGGCTTCATCCGCCGCTGGACGTTTGATCCGGTCAGGGGAAAATGTCGCCGCTACATTTTCGGCGGCTGTCACGGCACTCAGAACCTCTTCAGGACCAGGAAGCAGTGCAAGAAACGCTGCGACCCCGGTGAGATCTCCGTCTAATTTTGAGCCATCTACATACGCTTGGGCTTTGCTGTTTTATATGTAAGCCTCCCTGTCTCAAAATCATCGTGATTGAATCGTTTCGTCAGCTTCGTCGTTCGTCTAAGCTCTCTCAGGCTACTTCATTTCATCTTCTCCTGTGTCATTTCTGATTGCTGCTGACACCCAGCGCACCCTTCAGGCTCCGTCTGACACCCGTCGCTCCCTTCAGGCTCCGTCCAGCCCTCTGGGACGGCCGTGTGCCGCCTGCCGGCGGAGACGGGGCCCTGCTTCGACACCATCCCCCGCTACTTCTTCGACACGGACGCCGGCAAGTGCAGACAGTTCGGCTTCTCGGGCTGCGGCGAGAACGGAAACAACTTCAAAACGCTCGAGGCCTGCATCACCATGTGTGGCGGCACCTACACCAGCCAAGGTTCGCTTTTTCGTAAGACGGGATAATACTACATGTTGAAATGTGTTTGATGAGTAGGGACTAGGGAGTTTATATTTATGTTTGCTTGTTGTTTAAACTTTAAAGAATGTTTCACGATATAATCAACAACATCATGACCACTGTTGATTACGCACTTTGAATTATAATCTATATTTTCTAGACTATTTTTGCATATTGCTGGATTGGGCCGTACCTGCACACATTCCATGCCTCTATTAAAGTTTTACTCGCGACCCGGCATTGTATGCACCTGTCCTCAGATAGTCACTGCGACAGAAGGATGTGTCCGTGGTCTCTGTACGAGTATTACACGGAGAAGGGCTGTGAACCCGTGTACGACAATGACGCCTGCTGTCCGACTAGCTTCGAGTGCCGTAAGTCGCAAGACTGGCTGGGGAAGCTGACAACCTGTGACAGCTCCGCCATAAGCCCATTGTTTTCAACAACTTGCTGGAAAAGCCTCTTACTGGATCACTGTCTGAGCGCGGAATGCTTCAGAGTGCGTCTTACGCGCACATGCGTTTACGTTTTGGTTTGATAAAAGTAAAGACAAATCTGCTTGAAGCATGTGCTATGTAGAGTCAAGCATCTTAGCCACTGTCACGGCGAAGTAAGCCAACAACTGCCATTATTGAGTCGGGTAGAAAGGTCTCTAACACACCCTGGCCACCTCTCACCATCCACGGCAGCGGTTCTGCGTCAGCTGGGCCTCGAGAAGTGCAAGTACCGCGGCAGGGAGTACTCTCACGGCGACCTGGTGCCGGAGGCCAGTGAGCTGGATCCGTGCAAACAGAGCTGCCGGTGTGTCAGCACGCGCCAGAGCGGCGCGCACATCGACTGTGCCGAGGTCGACTGCCCGGCGCACGTCTGGAACCAGATATCAGCCGGCTGCGTGCCCTTCTACCTGCCCGACCGCTGCTGCCCCGTCAGCGTCCAGTGCTGTACGTGTGTGCTCCTTCCTTGGGTGACGTGGGGATTGTGGCTTAACTGGCATTGTGAATGGTCTTTATCATTATTTTGTGGAAAAATCCAAACGGGATCGGTAAATTATGAATTGTGTTAATTACGAAACGTTTGAAAGGGTTTGAAAACGAAATCAAATTGTTCATTGTGGTATGATAGCCCACTAAAAACAAATCAAACGTCTTACCTATTACCGACATTCTGGCGACCCTGCCTGTTTCTGATCGCACTCCTCCTCCGACCCCAGCAGCCAGGCGACGGAGGCGCTCCACGAGCGTCCTCCCTCCGAGCCGGGAGGTGGTGTGTGAGGTGGACGGCGTTACCTACCTCCGGGGGCAGGAGGTGCCGCTGCTGCCCGACCTCGACTGTGTGCGCTGCGTCTGTGACGGGGTGCCCGGCAGGCGCGGAACGGTCAGGTGCCACCGCGTTCAGTGCCCCAACGCGCACTCAGAGTGAGTGGCAGGGAGTTGAAGCTCAAAACGCAAAGCCCTGTAATTGGCTTCGGATCTAAGTTAGTTAAATGAAGAGTATGTTGACTTGTGCTTGAAAATATGAAGCTACGTTATTTCGTTAACTTACAAATATACGAAAAAAAAATAACATTAAAAGCCACTTTATAGTTTCATGTTGGTTTGTTCTATCCCAGTTTTGTTTATTTTCTTGCTCACAGAATGACCGAGCGAGGCTGCGTTCCCGTATACAGCAGAGGACAGTGCTGCCCAGTCGACTGGAAGTGTCGTAAGTTGAGCGCCCTTGAGTACTTTTAATAAAGTAATTACCTATTGTTCAATTAGTAACTTATAGTTGAACATCAGAAAATATGCAAGTTTAAAAAAGTATGCAACGACTTATGTTGGTTATACCTAAAACATTGAAACGATCGTGCGACTTTATGAAATTGGAAACCTAAAAAGACAGGTATCGCATGATTGAACAGGATAGATAGCCGAATTACGTTTGCTATCAAATGTCGATTCGATCTCCTCGCATTGACCTTGACAGTCTGATGTAAAACATTTTACAGCTGAAGATCTTTCCCCGGAAATACGCCAGCCGGTGGAACTAATCATTATCGGTAAGAAATGTACATACAAACGTTTCAAAAATGATTATACATTATGCAATAATGTACATTATGCAGTAATGTAGCGAAAATTAAATTTCCTGTTCCTGACGATAAAGCGCTCAATGAGCGCTATTCATGACGAAATGGCAGTCCGATTGTGTGACTCCTTGTACCGCCTACCCAGGTCGGATGCTCTCGGACGCGGAGGTTGGCATGACGTTGTGACCCACTGCTGTATCACCTCCGCAGGTCGGATGCTCTCGGACGAGGAGGTGTGCACGTTCGGTAGCCATCGGGTGGCCCGCGGCTTCAGTCTCAGACTGAACGACCGGTGCACCACCTGTGAATGTGTCACACCACCGACTCTGACCTGCCATAGAATCCACTGTCCCAAGATCAGCAGCTGGTGGAACCTAGTCCAAGGTAACTGTCAAGGCAGTGCTGTCTTATTTGTAAGGCTCTAGTTTCTATTTTAACTAACATGGCTGCTCTCGATGCCCCCGCTCCGTAGGATCGGTCGCGCCCTCACACTCCCGGTTCCGGCAGGCGCCGGCGGCGGTCTGTGTCGGTACCGCCGCCCTGCTCCAGACGCCTGCTGTCCAGAGGTCGTCTGCGTCGCCCCGGTACTCAGGCCGCCCGTCCTGGGACCCGAGTGTGCCGGCAAACAGTGCCACCTGCCGGTCGGCCGCGAGGGCTGCGACGCAGTGTACCGGGCCGGCGAGTGCTGTCCCAGCCTGGAGTGCCGCCACCCACCCGCCAAACAGGATCCAGCAGGTGAGTATTTGTGTATTTGTGCCAACAGACATTCCCATTAACAGGTGAAGTCGATGAATAAAAACACATCTCCAAAACAGGTACCGTCAAACACGATCTTCTCAGGCAATTTGTGTCTGGTATCGCTCCATTTCTGTCTCTTCTTTATGTGTCTGTCACATCATGCAATAACGTCGACCTGAGACCGAGGTCCATCACCTTGTCATAAATCAGTCTGTATGCCTGTACTCTCCAGACGAGCTGCAGTGCGCGCCGGTGGAGTGCTCCAGCGACTGTGTCGTCTCCCGGGACCAGTACGGCTGTCCGCTGTGCGACTGTAACGCCACCAACGTCGTGCCCGAGCTGAGGACGGCGCCGCCCGTCTGCGAGCGCCAGTTCTGTCCCGTCGGCTGCCCGAGCCATTACGAGCGCGGCTGCATCGTCTGCGAGTGTGAACTCAAGAAGGGACATCCGAAGAAGATGACAGAGCGGGACACCCGCGTGCGTTCCTGGCTGACCACGCGTCCTCCCTGTCCGGGTGTGACCTGCAGGCCCCACTGCGGCTACAAAACCGACGCCGACGGCTGCACTGAGTGCGACTGTGAGCCAGTCACCACTCCGGAGCCGCGGAGCGGACCTGGCTGTTCCACTGTGACCTGCCCGCCTCACTGCGGTTACAGGAGGACCGCGGACGGGTGCTCCGAGTGCGACTGTCCGCCGACGACCACGACGCCGACGACCACAACGCCTCCGCCACCGACCAGGCCACCGACCAGGCCACCGACCAGGCCACCCTGCGCCACAGTCACCTGCAGGCCCCACTGCGGCTACAGGAGAGATTCGGACGGCTGTCTCCGCTGCGACTGTCCACCAACAACAACCCCAATGCCACCGACCCGACCCCCATGTCCTATGGTAACTTGTATGCCCCACTGCGGCTACAAGAGAGATTCAGACGGGTGCCTTGACTGCGACTGTCCCCCGAGTACGACCCCAGTACCACCAACTAGACCCCCATGTCCAATGGTCACCTGTATGCCCCACTGCGGTTACAAAGAGGACGCGAGAGGCTGCATTGACTGCGACTGTCCCCCGAGTACGACCCCATTACCACCAACTAGACCCCCATGTCCAATGGTCACCTGTATGCCCCACTGCGGTTACAAAGAGGACGCGAGAGGCTGCATTGACTGCGACTGTCCCCCGAGTACGACCCCATTACCACCAACTAGACCCCCATGTCCAATGGTCACCTGTATGCCCCACTGCGGTTACAAAGAGGACGGAAGGGGCTGCATTGTGTGCGACTGTTTCCCCATCACACCCACTCCCAGTCCTGTGTCAGTGTGACCTGCTCATGGCCCGGCTGTGGCTCGGTCATGGACGAGCACGGCGCTGGGTGTGTGACTGCCCTGACGCGTCGAAAAGAAATGGCTCGTCCCACTTTAGCTATTACTGGTATGAAATGTGTCAATAGAACACTGTCCCAAGGAAGGTTATGCTCCCGTAAATGTGGCGAAATGCTGCGTGTTGATATTCCTTGGTCAGTCGTGTGTACTCGTAAGCATGTAAAAATGTGTATGCTGTTATGAATATTCAGACTGAAGGGAAATGTGTAAAAAAAATTGTCGCCTTTGGAGCGTCAAGCTCTCACCAATGATCCTAAATTTACCTATACCACCATTTAAGCCAAACAGTGAACCAGTTCCTGTCGGCTGTCACACATGTGCACACTGCAACGATTTGCGACACGATGATCAGCTGATGAAATTATATCTCTCAACAGCTGGTAAGACTGGCATACCTGGCATAAAGGAAAGGTCGGTATTTTATCGGCTAAAAAGTTTCTGTCGTCCTGTCAGTTCATATAACGGACTTCAGGCCGTGCAATCTAGTTACCAGTGTCGCCGTTATGAAAAGGCAGCGGTGTTGCCCGCTGTGCTTTCTTCATTCAGTGTGTGCGTGATAGAGCGATGGTTGTACGTTGAGCGTTCTCAAGTCTAGGGATGAGCTGAGTTGGGATGTGCCAACATGTCGGTGTAAGTTTAAGACAATACAGATCTGATGAGTGCGAGAGCCATGGCCGAATGTGAGCCGAATGTGTGCAGAGTGGCCGCGAACATACGGAGCAGGCCGCGGAACGGGTCGTCCCGTGGGTCTGTCGTTCTGTGGCGCGGTAACTCCGTCCGTGTCGGTGACGCAATAATTCCAGTGACTACGTCGTGTTCAAAGACGAATCGCGCCAGGTGTCAAAGGACCATGCATCGGGGCGCCGGATGTCGAGTCCCTCGGGACTCATTACCTTAAGCAAAATATATTATACAGTTGGTGATCGTGTTTGCAAATTAAACGACGCAGTCGATAGATGACTATGAGCCAACCAGCCAAAACACCAGACATTTTAATCAAGGAATGGAAGTTTCTGGTAAAATTCCTACTTCTTTTATTTTCATTTTTTAATTCCTACATCTTGATAGTTGAGCATAATCAACGCGCGACTCCAGCGCTGACCTCTCGCTCCTAAATCCCCAGATCCACAGATTATCACGAGTACCGCCGCCGCCCCCGTTGTCCACCCGTGTAACTCTGGCTAATCCGCCACCCCCCCCCCCCCCCTTCCCCTCTCCCGGTGACGGGGAGGGAGCTGGGCTGGTGACCACCTGTTCGCGGGCGGTCCAATCGACTCGATCGAACGGCCCATCGATCCGTCAGCCGGCGGCGTTCTGCATTACCAGCAACAGCTGCTGTTGGTTCACTGCGCAGAGACGGCGACTGCTGATGGGATGCAGAGCTCCACCAGGGGCCGGTGTCTTTAGGTCTCAACAGCACGAGGGATTAGATACGCTTGGGTGATCTTACAGAACGTTCTAACACCCAGCGCAGCGATGGATGCAATTGCTTAATGTTATGCATTTGCGCTGGTTTGTACAGGCAAGAACTGTGCACGTTTTGAATGAGCTTTGGTCACACGGGGTCACAGCAATCATAGCGGCTTGATGTCGCAGTGATTGGTTCCGAGTTTCGGGGGCCGTCGGTACCTGCCCGTCCGACCCGGTCCTCACCGTTCCCACGCCCTCGCCGGCTCTCGGCGGCTGCGCGGCCGCAGACGGCGACAGTTATCTACTCACGACGGACATTAACGCCGACTGGGGACGCGCGGTGGGCCAGCATCTGCACCGTGAGACGCCGCACAGAGCGCCGCTCAATTCCCAGAATCGGGAAGGCGTTGGCTTGCAAGCCAGCTCAACGGCTTTCCCAATGGTTGATATCGATCATTGATTGGGTATAAGGTACTAGGCATAAACTGCTAAATGGATGGAGAGGTGAAGGAAAAGGTGCAAACACGTTTACGAGCCTTTTTCTGTTGCCTGCGCAATTAATTCAGCCGTCTGCATTCACTCTAACTTTGTGTGGCCTTGTAGTGCTTTGTTTCTGTGATGAGATGCAGTCTCCCGGTTTCCAGGATGCATGGTGTTATTTTCCTGTGTGCCGCTGCAGTCTCCACTGAAACAATGCTTTTCTTCTTGAAACTTTCCAGAGTAGCAGATCCGTCTCTTATGCGACAAATATCTATATTGTCTTAGTCACTTCACTGGTCACAAGGTTCGTGCAGCTTACCAGACGTATGTTTCATGTTTTTATGGAGACTGCAACAACGAGTAGGAAAATACTACAAAATTTTCCAACGACTACAACCAAAGAACGCCGGGCCTCCGTGGCGCAATTGGTTAGCGCGTTCGGCTGTTAGCCGAAAGGTTGGTGGTTCGAGCCCACCCGGGGGCGGCCCGAGAACAGTCTTTTGGGAAATGGATCAATACGGACGAGTCCAATCGACAAATTGATTTCCTTTCCCCCAGGGGAGCGGCCCAATTCATTCGGGGAAGGGGGGGGGGTGAATGGATCAATACGAATGCGTTAAATCGACAAACTGATTACCTTTCCTAAGCAAATTATCTCGCCGATGACCCGGCCCACATATGATGCCGAGCAGTTCAGTAATCAGCATATCTCCATGTCAGCCCGGCTGCGGTGCCCTGACAAAAAGTCTGCCGATAGTTTCGACCTGCAGTTTCCAGCTGTTGCCAATGTGCTCTGCAGTTTAAAGGGACCACTGAAATTAGACATTTCAAACTTAAACAGCCACTAAATCCCTACTGAAGTGTTCCAAGTGTCTGCATTTCTCGCAACTCTCGACAAAGTCAGAGGAGCGCCTGCATCAGCTAATATACTATGACCTATCATATGACCTATATTATGACCTAACCTATCCTTCGCCCTGCGCAAAGTCACCTCATCCAAGCGGACAGTACATACACTAGGTATTGTTTGGGCCTTGGGGCCATTCCATGGGCGCAGCGGACTCATTTCCAAGCGCCACGCCTCGTGTGGATTGTCCATGATTGTAATACATACATATATACATACATACATACAAGCACATTTCGAAAGGCTGAGGCCCGCAGGTAGATTTTCCCTATATGGCCATTCCTGCAATTCTCGTCAGATATGGCATAACCAGTTACATAAGAAGTAAGAACGTAATCTTTGCATGTGTCCGACTACAGAAACTTATGTCATTTGGTAAATTCCTTGGATAGGGAGCAGTTTAGACCTACTTCATACTACATGGAAGAGAACACGACAGCCGGCTCCCTCGTTTGAAATTACATTGTGTGTTCGATTATGACCGCTGCATTTATGTCGTGGTTACTGGGTAATCGCTCAAACACTTGGTTTGTTAGAATCCAAATAAGAGATGATGAAAGAAGGGATCCAAATATTGAGCTAATATGCACTTCTAATTAGCATCCCACGTACCGCGGGACCGTAGCTCCAGTACCGGCCGGGAGCACCAGGCGTGAGCTGGTGTGGTGGTGTCACTTACCGGCTGCAGGAGGCGCTCCGGTAGACGGGTCTCGTGCTCCCCGGTAGTCTGTCGTTCCTCAGCCATCCCTAGCAGCTGCAGGGACACCGAGCTGTCCGACTGTCCGAGATGACGCTGCCATCGGCACAGGGCTATTCCCGTGCCGAGTCACCCACGCGAGTGGTTCACACTCCACTGGGAGGGCAGACTGACCCCAGAGAGGTCAACCAGACTCGCCGGGCAGCATAGGTGGAGAATTGTGACCAGCTGGGGGTGCTCGGGCGCAGCAAATCCGCCGCCGCCTAGCGGTGACCTTGACCCGCGCCGCTCGGCCGCGGCTCCAACTTTACGCCGATGATACAGTTGTGCTTGCCGAATCACCAGCAGAGTTACAGGCAGCATTAGACGCTGTGCATAGCTACTGCCAAGAGTGGCAATTACAGGTCAATACTGCAAAAACCAAAGTCATTATATTCTCAAGAGGCAGGGTAAGAAAGGCGCCAACCTTCCATCTCGGAGGCGAGGCACTCGAAATAGTCCCTGAGTACAACTATCTGGGGACCATGTTCTCGTCAAATGGCTCAATGAAGGCTGCTGTCCTCAAACAGGTGGCACTGGCTAATCGAGCCCTTTTTAAAGTATGTTCGATGTCAGCAGCTCTTCATCTTCCTCTGAATACTTGCTGCGAATTATTTGATAAGATGGTGCTTCCGGTTTTATTGTATGGATGCGAAATTTGGGGACTAGATCATGTGCAACATTTGGAAAATTTTCACAAGAAATTCATAAAACATCTCTTACAGATCAGCAAGTACTCAGCAAATTGCATGGCATATGGAGAACTCGGAAGAATACCCCTGAAGGTTATAATTAAGAAAAGGGTCATTGGCTTCTGGCTAAGGTTAAAAAATGGGAGCACGCGCAAACTTTCTCAGATATTGATGGAATTGCAGTTAACAAAGCTTCAAAATTCAGACTTCGATCCACACTGGCTGTCTAGTGTGAAAAGTATTCTGGACAACGCAGGGCTTGGGAATTACTGGCTTCAGGACCCTGTCAATAACGCTGAGGTGATAATGACCCTCGAAACGCGCCTTGTCGACATAGAGACACAAACATGGGCGGAATCTGTGCATACGAACTCTCTGTGCATAAATTATCGAATCTTTAAAGAATCTCTTAGATTTGAACCGTACTTAACAATTTTAGGACTGAAAGGCCGACGTACAATCTCTCGGTTCCGCTGTGGCAACCATAACCTGCCAATCACCGAAAGCAGACGCCAACATAACTCAACCTGGAAAGCATGTCAAAAGTGCTCAAGCAACAAGCCTGGTGATGAATTTCATTACGTTTTGGAATGCCCGGCCTTCAAAGATCAGCGGACATCTCTGCTCCCGCCCTACTATTGGAAATATCCCGACACAACTAAATTTAAGGCTCTCTTCTCGACAAACAAGAAGACACTTCTTCACCGCCTGTCTAGGCTTATCCAGCACATCACCGATGCCTTTCCATAAATCTGCAGCCTCAAGTGCCCCCCCCCCCCAGCCCATCTCCCTTCTCTCAGACTCTACCCCCCCCCCCCAACCCCCAATGTGTCGGATTGCGATGTAATCAAAGGTATGTGTATTTGTTTTTGTGTGTGTGTGCGTGTGTATGGGCTCATGCGTAGCACTAGTACTGACAAATGTACAAATATTGGGAGTCGCTAATTATACTAACTATGCATGTCCAGCTGCGCCTGGACAAGTGTATGAAGCCTGTGTGTATTGTGTACATATTATGCATATTTCAGCCAAGTTCCCATACCCCCAGTGGGGTCGTGGATAAATACATTCATTCATTCATTCCAAAGCCAAGCCGGCGTGGAATTGGGAGAGCTCGAGCACCCCCAGTCCAGCACAATTCTCCACCCGTGCCGGGCAGGAATCGCAGGGGCGCGTCCAGGCTCACAACTGGGGAGTGCGACAGCACCTCTGACGGTGTGTCACGACTGCTCAGAGGGCATAGAAGAATTAGAGCTAAAATTTGGGCACTCTTACATTTTAGTGAAGCCATACTATACATCATATTGCTTTTTCAATCTTAGGGCAAGTCATTCCGTCTACTGGCTAATTAAATCGTGTCAGGATATTCAGTAAAAAATGTTTGGCGTACACACATCATTCTTAGAATAGAGAAGACAGCCATTTATATAAAAACCGCTATCTGGTTTATGCTTTGCAGTACCTGAAAACTGTTTTGGGCGATATTGACTCTGATGCAATGCCTATACCAAATGACATTGATATGCACACCACAAATATTCATGTATGTGCGTTCCGTTCTGGGTGTTTCCAGCTCACGGGCGGTCGTGCCGCGCGCTTTCTGTGCCGTTTATTCCAGACGTGCCCTATCCATCCGTATCTCACCAGCGTACCTGACATGCACCCAGTGACTAACAAGCCGTGCCGTATTCGCGCGATCCAGCCCGTGCCGATTCTTCCCGTGTGACCAAACCAGCTGTGTCCCGCCGATGTGATAAGAAGCATTCGAACGCTGCGCTCAAAAACGGATGGGACATTTCGTCCTGTCAAATCCAGCCATTGCCATCCAGACTAAAATAGAGACTCGCCGGGCAGCATAGGAGCTTTGTCTGATACAATCTAAGAGTACTGCAAATGATGCAGGTTTTTCATGGTATCCGCCGCTTATCGGGTCTGCCAGATGGTCGCCGGAAAAATATTTCACTCGGCAACCGCTCCCGGATCACTGCTTTTATCAGTAGCGAAAGATTGATGTCTGTGGATCGAGGACGGACGATTTGTGAGTAGATAATACAAAACAGCGGTGGAATGTCTGAACTGAGATATGGGACCTCCGTATAAGCGTTCGACTGAGATACAGAGATGCATTGAGCCTAGAACTCGACAAGCAACAGGATGCTTGCGCTTGACTCCTACCTGCCTTTTTCAGTCAACTACCGGCACCAATCCCAACGTTCATCAAACATTTCTAACAGGTCCCAGATGGAACAGTGCCTAAAGGAATACTTTATGTATTTCCATCAGACTCACAAACACGTACCACACGCACAAAACATGACCTCCACTGCTGTCTGCGTCACGGCCGGCCGGTCGGTCACATGACCCGGCGGCGCCGGTCAGTCTGCACGTGATTCGTGTCGGCAGGAAGACCTCCCCTCCCTCCGGTCCGCCCCTCGCGGCCGGTGCACCGGCCGGGCCGTGCCGCGGCGGTTCGGCGGCTCGGCGGCTCAGTTCGTGCTGTGCCGTCCACATGTCGGCAGCTTGGAGAGCCTCCGTGCTGGCTCTGCTGGCGGCCGCGCTGGGTCCGCCGCCAGCCGCCCCCGCCCCCGCCCCCGCCCCCGCACCGGCGCCCAGGCAGAAAGGTGAGCTTTATACAGTGTGTAGCGAGGGGATTTAGAAAAGAAGAAGAAAGAGAGGATAATAACTGCTTCCTTGCGGGTAATCAAACGCCTTCTTTGCGGTTGATCCAGCACCGCGGTCCACTGTCGTTCAGCTGGTTGTAGAGGAACAGGGCTATTTGCTGCTGGAATGAACTCGATAGTTGAACTGGTAGAACAGGGGAGCTTGAGAGTCTTGGAAAAGATCCCGAGATAGATCTAGAGAGAGATCCAGATAGTGATGAGATCCTGAGATAGATGTAGATATAGATCCACCTGATAGAGATCTTGAGATGGTGTTGAGATCCACCTGAGGGAGATGTCTAGAGATCCACCTTGCATACAAATACATCTGATGGAAGATGCTTTTTAATTTAGAGGCTTGATGATTCTGTTCATTGTATAGACCATGATGCACGAGATGCTTCTTCACTGCTCGGATTAGGGATAGAGGTATCCGATCAGCTGGGTTTGCGGCACAGTTGGGCAGGTGAAGGACAGGGCATTCGAAGTCCCGATGACCACTGCCAAACATATGGGTGGTAATTACATTGATAAATTGAATGTGATCATTCGTCCAGTCACCCATTCCTATATCACTGGCCTTCCCATTAAGAAAATTGCCCACTTAATTCGTATTAGCGTTGCTAGTTTTAAGTTGCCCTCGAGATTAATTAGTTTGACTGTCCTAACTGAGCTTCGCTAAACTCCCATCGGCCTTATCCTAAGATTCATCCTTTACCATTCTCACTCTCATCCTCTCTCTACGTTCGTTCGTCATATATTCACCCCAAATTTATTTAGCGCCCCTCGAATTCCCTCCGATGGCGTTAGGTGCCTGACTAATAGCGATCTCCCCGGCGAGATAAATGTCTCTTTCCGAAATCCATATGCATGCTCCGCTAACCGGCGACAAAGATACTTACCGCAGGGCCGTCCAGAATAATTGCATAAATATCCACCCTACTAATTTATGGGATTCACTACACGACCGATAGACTTATGGTACACACATACACGATTTATATCCGACTTATCTCTCTACCGGGAGAGATTACCTATGCCCTCTTCCGGTCCGCGTGTAACATTCCCGTTCACGACCCAGGGACCCTAGTTCATATCCTGGAACTATCCTTAACCATGGGATTTACTATTCAAGGCCTTACGTGTCCTGGAGTACATTCTTCCCTCCCCTGAGGCTGTCCAGTACCGATTAGAGTACCTTTACGAAATAAGTATGAGGACTTATCCGGGACACTACGGCTCGCCTTATCCGCCCTTTGGGTGACTCACCCCTGACCTTCGGCTTCTTGCCTTTGGCATAACTTACTCTCCACTGCATACTGTGCCAATCTTCCCCTTCCCCCCTGCCGTAGAAACCTCTCACTGCCTTCTCACCCAGTGTTACCTAAGCGGGAAAATTAACAGTGGCCGGTACCACTGGCGGAAAACGTGCATATGCCCTGCGTACGTGACGGTGTGTCCCTCTTATTATTCCGGTCTGGACGTGGGTTTCGAGAAGTGCATCTGTGTCTCATACAGTCATGCTGGTAAACGTTACGCCATAGGAGGCGGGCAAACAAGCCGTCTGTGCCTCACAATGCCCTGTGCCAATATTGTTGGAGTAATTATTGGCGCTAACTCGCAAGAACGCGAATAGCAGAAACGCATAATTTAACCAAATCTAATCGTAATCTCAAGTCCTAATTGCTGCTACACGCGTGAACCTTATCATCAGTTCTCGTATACAATCCTAGCAGACCTTGAACCGCTCTTGATTTAATCAGACATATGATCTAGAACCAATTAACACGCATCGATCTGCCGTCTGGTTGTGATCCACCGTACCATAGTGAATTACTGAATGCTCAAACGGAAATGCCTCCTTGAAACTCGTTCGATAGCTTCTGATGGGCTACTAGTTACCTAAACAAATTATCTTTATAGAGTGCCAGAATATTGTCATAGGGTCCCTAGCCTTTCATAGGGAATCTAATTTAAATCATCCTATTAGCAGTAAACAATGCGCATCAAACGAAGTGCAGTCCTAGATATCATATAGCATATCATATTTAACTGTCTACGTTCTTATCCCGTTGCAGCTTTCCGCAACTAACCAGACTCCTATACGTGACCTTCACCTACCGCCCGCGCCCCAATTACGGCTAACCCACTGCCCCTGTTGTGGCTGCTTCTCGCGCCCTCTGGCGGCTCAACGCCCGTGTCGGGAACGACGATTACGACGGCCGCCGGCCGGCGCCGCGTCGACAGTCGACAGTTGTCAAGGCCGCGCCGCGATGGGCGCGTCATCACTCGCGGTGCAGTACTGGTGTGTGCGGTCTCTTCGGGCCGGGAGATTCAACGGCTGTGTCAGTGAGTGTGAATCTGGTAAAATATCGCTTCGATATCTCCCTGTTCGACATCTCATCAGCTCCATTCCACGTAAGTTTTTTTTTTTTTTTACTCCTGTCCCATTTGATCGTTTCCCAACAAAGCTGGTCCTTTCTAGTATTTATTCTACAAAGCACAACGATCGGTACCTATATTAGTCGCATATTAGTTCTAACCACAAACATTTCTACATCTACCTGTTACTCGACATTTCGCAATTTCAATGACGCAAAGTGACCATCTAAAGTCGCAAAGTGTCAAACCGTCAACCTCAAACCACTGCTCGCAACTATGCACCTAAGTAACAGGAAAAATTCCGCCGTACGCTCAAGCATTCGTATCTGTCGCAAATCATAATTCATAGCCATATTCATAGATCGATCGCATGAATCAGTCGCCACCTTAAAACATTACATTCCTTTCAAACGTATTTACCTGTTCTATAATTGATTTCGACTTCCATTTTAGCTTCCATTTTAGATTACAGCAATATTACCAATGATTTCGCAATGCAACTTTTAGTGAGTACAGCACGAATCTAAACCCTTTATTTCACAAACGTTCCAACCTCAAAACGCACCTGGCCATCGCCCATAATAAATCGAACGAACCATCTTGACCGAAGACAAAGACATTTCAACGTTGTCACGCATCCTGTCATCAATTTCAGCGTTCGTGACACTGAGCTACTTATGTAAATTTTTGGATCTCGCTCTTGGCCTAATCGTGAACTCCCACTGACAATAACGGTTTGCTGGCGACTCTGACATGACCTCGAAATTCAGATCCTAACATGCTACTAGGGTGTCTGGACCAATAAGTTCAAAGTAATTTAAGTTTTCCAATTCCAATTGAGAGTGCATTTTATGGTAACCGAAAATGTTTGGCAGTCGTCACGGGCACGGCACGCTGGGCAGAGGGGGGGGGGCAAGGATTGGGATTGAGCAGACTTTTCAACAACACTCACATTCTGGAGTTCTCTGCGCTTCCGCTTCTCAGTGTGGTCTCAAGCGTCGGCGGTTGTCCTCCGGCTCTGGTCACTCGAACTGAAGAGGCTTCTCGCGGGTGACCCGGACTGACGGCGGCTCCCAGATGGCGTCTCCGGCTCCAGCTGTGGACTGTGACTCTCGGCTGCTCGACTGTGATTCTGCCTCTGGTTGGGTGGCGCACCCTTTTATAGTTGGGGGGGGAGGGGTGACTGCCACGCCCTTGCGACGTCATCTTCCTCTGCCTTCTTCTGGTGGGTGGGGCCGTAAGATGGCGCCCTCTGTCCTGTTTAGTCACCTTGCTCCTCTGTGCCTGCAATTTTTGGCCGTCGAATCGTCTTCGTGTTGAGTGCTTTATCATTTTAGTAATCGCTGGCATAAAACAATCCCCGAAAGGTTTGTGATTTTCGAGTTTTAATTTTGATTCTTCAATTTCATTTTATTCAAACTTTTGTTTCCTTCCGTTTCGTCTGCCGGCAACGCCCCTTGTGACGTCACTCTTGCTCCGCCCACTGGCCCGGGTGTGGCCGTAAGTCAGCGCCTTCTTCCTCTGCGGAGATCTCTGGAACTACCTCATGAGGCCATTGTGAGGTCGGTCACCCGGTTGTTTTGCCAGGGTCACTCACCCTGGGCTGATGTACCCGACAAAGGAGGCTGTGTGCTCCAGCCGGCATCCATCCTTGACACTGCTCCATGATCTGTTGACATATCTTACTGATCCAGCGCTCCCAGCCGTTATCTGTCCTCGGCGTGGGTCCATGAGCTGTTGACAATGTTACTGATCCAGCTGTTACTTGTTGGGGTTCGAATCGTTCATCCTGCGGTAGCTGTCTCCAAAAGCGCGCGTCTTAATGGGAGTTTAACGGCTGCCCATTCTGTGCGGACAGTGATAGATTAGGGGAACTGGGGGGGGGGGGAATTGGGTGTGGGAAAGCGAGCTAGGCGTGTGGCCGGACTGCGAGGGAGAGGGACTGCCGGACCGAGCCGTGCCGAAAAGATACTACGTTAAATGTTCAAGATGTAGCGTGCTACATCTTCAGTCCAAACAACCCTAGTTGCGTCCTCGCAACTCATACGAAGAAAAGTCATACCCCTTACTCATCTAAATCTACACAATCATCTGATCTTCAGCAACGCCTACAACATGACATCGTATACCTAGTACAGTACACACACGCACCTGTTGTTCCTCGTCCCCACCTCAGTTTGTCGTTCACCAGATCCGGGTCACGGGCACCAACCACTTTGGTTAGCCCGATGTCGTCGGTGGCCGTTCGGTAAGTGGCTTCTCAGGAGGGTGAAGGCTGCCATGGCAGCCCAGGTGGGCGGCCTCAACAGCAGTTCGGGTGGCGGCCTCCATGGCAGCCCGGGTGGGCAGCCTTCACGGCAGCCCGGGTGGCAGCCTGGGTGGGGCGGCCTCCACGGCAGCCAGGGTGGGAAGATTCCACAGCAGCCCGGACGGCGGGTTCCGTGGCAGCCCGGGTGGGCAGCTTGCACGGCGGCCCGTGTGGGCAGCCTACGTGGCAGCCCAGGTGGATGACACCTCTGTGGCAGTCCGGGTAGGCGACCTCCATGGCCGGCCCTGCCGCGACCTCTGTGGCCGCCCGG